GATTTTCAGTACAAATCGGCAATTTCATACTTTAACCCCTATTATTTCGCACTACATATTGTATTACCGCACTACTTACTGTATTAATTCTGCTTCACTAAAAACATTCGGCATTTTGAAAACCAGCGTAACGAGGTGTTTTCACACGTCTTGTTATGAAAAGCTGAGTGGAGACCATTTTGGTAACTTTTAAATGTAATTTTTATATTTTATGCTTTATCCTAAGGTTATTTTATTTCTTGTTACCATTCTGTCATATATATTTTGTCAAAAGTTTACAAAATAAACTACTTTTCTTTTGTAATGATTATTATTTGTAACGTAGAAGGCGCTAACAAGAGAAACTTACCTATCTCGAGTATCACAGCACGGATAGAGCGGCCGCAGCACCGTCAACACGACGGAGTCGTACTGGCAGTCGTTGAGGAGCACCATCGCCTCCGACGCGCTCTTGATGCCTTCCAGCGACCTGTTGTTGATCTGCAACGAGAGCGGTCAGACGGGAATCGCGCGACGAGGGTTCGGCAAAGGGTTTAGAGAGGCGACTCACGCTGACGACGCGGTCGCCGACGAAGACGGTGCCCTCCTTGGCCGCGACGCTGCCGCACGCGATCTTGCTGATGAAGACACCTGCACAAGAGAGGGCGGTGAGCGGGCGGGGGGCGGGCGGCGGGGGCGGGCGGGGGCGCGGCAGCGACCGTGGTGCAGCGACACGCCGTGCGGGTCGGGCAGGCGCACGATGGTGCGCTTGGCCTTGGCGCGCTGCAGGCGCAGCGAGGCGGCGCCGGCGCCGTGCTGCAGCGCCGCGCGCAGCGCCGACGCCGCCGCCTGCCCGCTGGCCCACACCGACACGCCGCACGCCTCCTTCACGCGGTCCAGCACTCTGCGACAAACACTCCCTTGCAGCGACTCGTCTCTGACTATTTCTACGGGGGCCGGCGCGACGCGGTAAAGCTATTTAACATTCGAGATTCACCGAGAGTAACGAAATTAACACCCAGACCAGCACCGGTTTCAAAAAGTTCGTGGTTCAAGTTGAATCTACCGGGAATGAACCCCGGGTTCTCCTTATGCTAGACCGGGGAGTATGGACAGTCCAACCTTTTCAGAACCTTTTTTTATGCTAGATAAACATCAAAATTTCCCTAATATAACATAATCACCACAACAAAAACCCGCGGTACGGGAATGACGAACCTCGACTCCGTAAGCCCTCACTCTTCGACTTCGGGCTTTTAATACAGTCTCGTTCGTAATTCCTTATTTACCGCCTTTATTGCACAAAGTATTTTCTAAACTATTCGTCCCAATAATTGACACCCCCTTATACGCTAGTTTAGACAAGCTCTTCATGGAGCAGTACTGACTTGATCTTTCCCTCGACTACAGATCCCTTCTTGACGGCAGTGACGTAGATGCTGCAGTCGTTGGGGTAGTAGGGTTCCTCCCTGCCCCCCGACAGCTCGAAGCCGAGGTCCCCGTCCTTGCTCAGGCCGTTCAGCTCCACGTCTATTATATCCCATTCGTAATCCTGTACAACACATTGATTATATTAAACATCACTTCTTATGCTAATGGTACTTGACATGTAACTAACACCCCGTGGGGGCACTGCAACATTCTGAGGGCACTATATCCTTACTTTACTAAAACATATACATTATTAAAATAAAATTAAGAACGATTAATAACAAAAAAAACTAAACAGAATTTTATGCAATACCAACAACAAATATTATTAATCATTCATCATTTCTTACAACACACGAAAGTAACTTACGAATTTTAATAAAAATAAGTTACGTATACATTTCGATTCAAAATTTCACATTTTATACAATCACGTAATAATTCATATTAGTCATTATTGTCATCGTTTCGGAACAAAGGGACGTAATTTCTAATTTAACTGGTTGCGTGTCTAAGATACACGATGTTCGACGTAATCGACTCGAGCTGGTAAGAAGCCTTATGTATGCAACACGAGCGTTAAAAACGTTGCTACATGGATGTACTAATCTCAGTACAGGGTGCCGAAACCGACTTTAAAAGTTCATGGAAGTACATCTATTTGCCAAGTTTTATTGAAATATACTATACTAGTTTTAAAGGGAGAATATTCTCTTCAAATTGAAATGGGATCACTACTGAGATACCCTCTTTCCAACAAAACAGAAATCATCAAAATCAGTTCACAAATTAACGCGTAACATACATACAAAAAAAACATACTTTCGAATTGAAATTCTCCTCGTTTATTTCAAAAGTCGGTTAAAAATTTAGCTCTTTACTCTTTACTTTACTCTTTTTCACATATAGTTTTTATGACTGTAGTAGCTTACATCAAAAATATGACCTATCTATGCATTGACTTACAATTATATGGACGTCGGGTCTAATACAAAAACCACGAAAAAAATGTCCCACGTCAACCTATTTAAACGTAGGGACATGTAAAGGAATATGAATAAGCTAAAACGTTAAATTTAAATTGTACTGTCATCGCAGTACTGTCTAATTTTGCTTGCTTCGCAGACAGTCGAACAAACGAAGACTAAAGCGTGAATGACGCTCTGTATACGATTTTAACGCCCTATAAGTTCGGACACTCTTTAGCGCGGACCCTACGTCCATATAATTGTAAGTCAATGCATCTATGTTTATTTTTTTTTATAGTGTTGTTTTTCTATGTAAATTTAATAATTTAAACCAGTTCATTTCTTAAAAGCTTATTAAGCGCCAGTCGTCGGTCTGACGTCAGTACTAGTGACGAGAAAAACCGATAGTAAATTTGTTTGACTTTGACTTTTCAATTAATATATGGAATTATGTATTTTAATTATCTAATAAATCATAAATTAAGAAATACTGTTTATGCGGAAGTACATACGAGAAATATTTTTAAATTAAAAAAAATTTTAACAATAATTTAGAATAATAGTAAAAAATCGCCAAAGAGCATGCACTGAAAACCATCCATTAAACTAAAAAACTTGACACTTAAATAATTCATGAAACCCTTAGAGAATGGAAAAAAATAAAGGAACGGAGCTGTCCTATCAACGGAATAAAGGTCCCTACCTAAACCAAAAATGTCCACCACAAATGGCGGATTTAGTGTCGTACCATAATCATAGATAAGTCAATATCGACATGCAAATGTATGGCTTGAATGTTGAAATTGTTGTTACTGTGTTTTAAGTTTGCAAATTTGTGTAGTTTACTGTAATCAAAGTATGATTTATACTAGGCTATTATTACTAGGCAAGTAATAAGCTATTTTAATCAAAATTAAATATAAAGTTATTTACCAATAAATGTAACGATGGAATTGCATTATCACGTAATCTAGTTACATTCAACGTTCTATTTAATTAAATTTGAATGGAGCGAAAAAACGAAGATGGTATTTGATCCATGTTTATGTGCGGCAGTCCTATAATTTCCAACCATTCTTTCTTTCTTTTTTCATTTGTAGGTAAACTTTAAAAATAATAATAATGGAATAATAAAAACCTCGTAGTGAATTGTTTCAGTAACAGAATATCGATAATATGTCTGCTTACAAGAACAACACTGTCTCAAAATAATCGTTATCAACAATCATAAAAATATACTAACAAACAGGCAAACTAAAGTAACCAAAGCAAAATTCGGCAGGACTTATGAATAAACTACTTAAATGAGTCTAATTACATGAGATATTTCGGCTATTGTATAATTTATAGGCACAAATAATTTACGTGTCTTCGTTAGATCAAGGTCGCACGTGGACTGACCAATTTCGCGTATGCGCCCTCGTCCCCATCCCCAACCTGTGCCTAGCTTTTCGCCGCTGCGTCGGAGCAATAATAGTGATGTGCATATATTTCGATAACTAATGTTGTTCTCAAATAGTAGTCGATAATTTTTTTTTTTGTAAAGTTTAAGTTCATTAGTTTATTATTTCTTTGGGTTCAGAATCAGGAATATAACGCACTCTATAAGTATGTACCACTTTCAAATATACAGCCTGTATGTCAATATAACATGTCCTTTGGTTTCCATAATCTAAGATGAAATCTAATAACGGTTTTAATTCAGTAAGTACGTCACACTGATAACAACTTGCCGGGCGGACCTTTCAAAACTCAATTTTACTCTTTTTTAACGGACTTCAAAAAAAGGAGGTTTTCAATGTGACTGTTTTTTTTATGTTACGCGATAACTCATAAAGGCATTTGTGAACCAATTTTGGTGATTCTTGTTTGTTGGTAAGAGGATACCTCAGTATTGGTCGCATTTAAATTTGAATAAAATATTCCACGTTTACGTGTGGCCAACTAGGGGATGAATTACTTTTGAGGTCGGTTTCTTTAGTACTCTATACCGAGATTATTTTCTAAACTGCAAGTTAATAAAATATAAAAAATACATAAATATGGTGACAAATTATGCATCTACAAGGTGAGATTTTTTAAAAGGCTTGTGGGAAAAATGTGCTATTGTGAATGAGCACCATGTGGCGTGCCCACCTGCAGGTCCAGGTCGGCGTGGTGCGCGTGCGAGTGCGCCAGCGCCTTGGCCCTGGCGGCGTCGGCGCCCGCGTCGCCCTTCTTGCAGCTGCGCCGCGCCTCGGCCAGCTCGCCCACCATCTGGTCGCGCTCCTGCCACACCGCGAGGGTCGCATCGGGTGTTTCGTAGGAAGTGCGAAAGCGTTTCGAAAAACGTTTGACTTTTAGGTTTTCACAACCGATTTCAAACATTTACATCGTGCTTTAAAATTTAATTTTGGTTTTAATTCAGTTTTAAAATTTAAAACACCACGTAAATATTTTAAAACAAACGCGAAAACCTAAAACAAGCTCCCAGATTTTTTTTCTTTCGAAATGTCGTTTACGCTCTTTCTATAAAATACCGGCGATATAGACAGAGATAATGTCAGAAATACAGAAAATTTTTCTTACATGCTATGGTTAATTCAATACAAAATTACTTAATGGTAGAGGCCACAACTTACGCACGTGTAGGTGCACCCAATGTTGTTGGAAAGGGCGGTCCAGCCTGTTGGCAACTACGGCTAGTATGTTATTAGCGAGGCTTGTGAGTGAGGCAGCCCTCTTGCAAATAATGGCATGAAAGCCATCTGTGTGCGCCTCCGTCTGCGTCCGTGAACATAAACCAACGTACCTTTCTCAGTCTATTGCACAGAGCTTTGACGCTCTCTCGTTCTTGAAGAAGCTTGTCTCGCTCCGAGAACGCCCAGTCTCTTCTTCGTTTGGACACCTGTAATCGATTGTTATTATAAACCTCCATTTTAACTATAACGAAATACTTAAATACTAAGCAAAAAGTATTAGTAGAAAAAATTCCACCAAAATTCGCATACCAATCAACCCGATTTCTTTTCTAGGATAACAAACGGGAACGCACTAAAATTATCTTTACAATTCCCCATTAGGCGAGTCTCCGGAGGAAAAAAACTGTTTTACTAGTTTTAGTATTTACTATTAAATAATGGTCTTACAAAAAATATACGATACTCCCAAGAATGTGCTAATGCGTTGCACAATAGGATGTATTTTACCCGGCCATATAATATCCTGAAAATAGGCTCAAATAAAATTCTAAAACGAATTAATTAACAATAAAATATCTAACTTTGCACATAATTTTTATATAGAGATATTTCTCTTTGACTACTACAGAGAACCTACAAAATTTTGGATTTCAACTGAAGCCCTAAATTCACATTTCTCCCAATATTTGCAAATTGCCCAGCGGATTAACGACACGCCGCGCCGCTCGCTGCCCCGTCAGCCATTGGGCGCTTGTCAACGTCAGATCTGTGTAAATTTTTTTCCGCATGTGCTTATTTTATTCATAATAATGTTAAGCATGCAAATTGCGGGACGCGAGGGCCCGCCCCCCGCACCTCACCTCCTAAAATCCAAAAATATAAAATCTCGCCTCGCCGAAACATTCTACCGAGTCGAAATATTCTCATAAATCGAAACATTCTGCTAAGTCTAAACGTGTCCCTGAATCACCATACAGATCTTACCCGTGGAAACTCAGTATTGATGGCGATCGAAAATGTGGCAGAACATTTCTCCTCTAAATAGTGGACCATTGTCGACCACGCTAGCCAAGGAGACTTTACACCCTTTAAGAGTTATGTGAATAATCTTCTCCATACATAGATATTCAATATAGGTTTCACCACGATATTTTCATAGCAGTAGAGATCCTTGTGAAAGAGGTCATCCAATGGGAGAATTACTGCGTTCCGGTTTGGAAGGGTAAGGGTCAAGGTCCCCTCAGATCTTTAAGATTTACGGTACTGCAAGTATTATGGACTGGCGTATCGCTTACAACCACGCACACGAAATGTTCGTCCCGTCATTTTGTATCATAAAAAAAACCTTTACAATTGAAAGAATTGGTATCTAGAAAACCAACCCGGTACAAGTATTCCCATACTTGTTCCACCAGCTCCTGAAGCCAAGTTACAATGCGAGTACCTCTGCCTCCTGCTGCGCGTCGGCGAGGTCGTGGTGCAGCCTCTGCACGACCTTGCACAGCCTCTCCAGCTCCTGGTTGGCCTGCTCCAGAGTCTCCACGCGCTCCTTGCTCGCGCTGGACCCCCCGCCTGCCATACAAAGTCACGTGTCTAATTTTAGCTTCATCCTTCGTACGTTACCAAGTTAATGGTAACTGGGCAGTAATAGGTGTTGTGGAAGAGCTGGTACGGTTAACACTACTCAAACATAATAATATCATAATAATATGCAAACAACATCGACAACATAGTTGTTTTATATTACTAAATACATATATAACAGATTTCTAACTCGTCAAAACTGAACTCCAAAGAAAGAACTAAAATTAATTATTTTGTGATTCGAGCATTTCAACGAAACCACAATTGAATCGTTTTGTATATGTAGTATAGTTTATATAGACAATTCAGCTTTTTTTTTTTAAATACAGTAGCACCCCTTGGACAACATCAACACCCCCCAATTGCTTCCGAGGCCTCTTCTCTTCAGCGTCCACTTTGGGAAATATGCTCTAGAGTCTATTTGAACAAAATAGTTCATAAAAACCTCAAGTGCCGTTGGTTGGTTCCCCATAACAGTCAAAGTGTTGAATCAATGACTTTGGAAAAAATAGATATAGACATAGACATTCTTTTTTTAAAATCTAGTTTTAAGAGGCCTGAAACATTCGGGCGTTTATGTCGGCCTCGTAATGTACGTATACATATAAATAAGTCTCCTATTTTATCTGTTACTACTCCCATGTGAGGTATTGCTCTTCTCAGAAAGCAAGACCTCACGTAGGAGTATAGAGCTTCAGCACTCTTCGTCAACGGGTTGCTCAGCATTAAATTTAGCTCTCCCACCTGACCAATGTCCTTCAATTGTTATTGGGCTCGACAGCCCGCATACCGATCACATTCCTTTAAATGAAGCATGTCCTCCAACTTGTTACAGAATTGGCATGACGGGATTCTGCCCTTCTCATGAAATAGTAAAACTTATTTAATGTAATAAGACAAGAACGCAGTCTAAGGGCAATTATTAACAGTGACTTGGATAGTCTACCCTCCTCGAACCAGGGCCTTCTTGGAGGACGCAATTGGATAGAGTTTTGTACCATATACCCCTTGTCATAGATATTTAGATCCCTTACAAATGGGAAAAGCTCTGTGGCAAAGGGCATACCTGATGGTTTCAACGGCTCCGAAATAGCCTCCCTTGCTAGTCTGTCTGCTACTTCGTTTCCTAAAAGTCCCATATGTGATGGTATCCATTGAAGTGTAATGTTAATATTATTGGACAATAGGTTGGTCACTAATTTTAATGCCTCATATGCTATGCGCATGCCTCGACCAAGTGAACTAAATAGAACACGAATACTATGCGATATACATTTCTCAAATGGCTATAATTTCGTTTGTAAATAATTAAATTCTGAAATAAAGCCAGTGTCCCTGCCACTCCACCCAAGCAAAATGAACCGCATTAGTACGGGAAAAATTTGAATTTGAGCCAAGGTAGTATCGAGTCTTAAAGATCTAACTTCAATTACCTTGCAGCTTATCGAGCGAGGGGTCGTTGGACTGTCCGTTGAGGAAGGCATCGTTGCCGACGCCGCTCGTTAATCCCAAGTGGTGGTACGCAGAGTTGTCTTGTCTGTTCAAAAAAGTCATTTTATATTAATATTACTAGCAGCCGATAAGGGAAAATATTAACAATAATTTTAATATAATAATAATATCTTTATTTCAGACAATGTAGGTCCACTTGTTAGCTACGAGCCCGTTATGCTGTTTGTAAAATACTATAAGTTTATTTCATGCATGACTCCGGTGACGTTTGAGATTTGAAGTTTCTAGAAATGTAGTGATGTAAAATCATCGAGTATATAACCAGAAATAGAGACGAAATGTCATTTAATTTGTTTGAAAACTATTCTGCCAAATCATTACGGCGACAACTGCGCTCTGATTGGCCAGCCTGTATTCGAACAATTGACGGGTGTCGTCAATTGTTTCACTTCCTTTACTATAATAAATACAGAATATCTTTGGAATATACGGAGACGTGCACACAGGTCAGTCGCTGGCGCTGTACTATTTCAGTTTTCTAATTTGTGATTTCAGCGCAAACGAGTTTGATGAGTTGTCAGGGATGGATGGCCCTTATTTCGTCTCTATTTCTGGTTATATACTCAATGTGTAAAATCGAGTGAAAAAAAATTGATTATCATATCGAAATAATTTGTAACGAAGAGAGAATTGATTTATCATAAAATAATTTAAGAACAAATAATAAACAAAACAGAAAGGATTCAATTATTATGTTATTAAGTTACTAAAAAAATACACAAGAAATCAACAACAAAGCATAAAAAAAGCCGAGAAGCAAATTTTGGAAGTCGGTTTTTTAAATGAAAAAGTAGTTTTTTTTAAATATTGATCGACTCAGGTCACTGGACTGATAGGATTTAGTAACATTTTTGAGTCATAACTTAAATGTTGAGTGACGTTTACTAATAAGCGGTGATATTCAGTTGACCTCAATATCGATGCTGCATTTGATAATGGATTTATTTAGACGGGTCTTGGTAGAAGGCAAGGGGCACTGACCGGGACTTATGGTTGGTGGTGTTGTTGATGGGCGTCTTGAGGTCTGAACACTCCTTGATGGCTCGGTCGCGGTCCACCAATGCGCACTCGATCTCGCGCCGCAGACTCTCCGCCTGACAGAACAAATTCTTATATTTTACCAAATATATGGTATCAACTACTTGGCGAATGTATTATGTTTCAAGAGCTCCTTGTTCGTCCAGGGAAGTACTGCCATCTTACCTATTTCTGCCGCCAAGCAGTAATGCCAGCGTTACTGAGTTCCGGTTTTCGAAAAGTAAGGGTGCTGGCGAAATTACAGGCACATGGGACTTGTCAACTGAGACATACTCAGGGTGATGGGCGCAGTGGCAGTGCCGCTAAGGTCTTTGCGATTTAAAGCTGTGAGTGGCACTACAACTGTTATTGTCAGGCGTGTCGCTTACCACCAGGCGCACGACATGTTCGTCCTGTCACTTGGTATTACAGAAAAAAAGTGCCGCTGGCTTGTCAGTTCGAAACTATGGAGCGTGTAAACGTTCCAAAAATATCAATTAAACCATAAGAAGTCATATCGTGATTAAGAACCCATAACTAAAGCCGTAACTGCTATATTCAGATAGCACGCAAATGCTATATCGACTGTGAACTGGCAACCGGTACTATCTCAATTTTGACAACTTTACATTGACTTTACAGGTGAAGAAAACAATTGTTCGCGTCATTTATATAGCATCTGATTTATTAAATAAAAATACGTAGTTTTTAATTATTTTTATTACACATACACTACGCATTTTTATTTAATAAACCAGATGGTATATAAATGACGCAAACAATTGTTTTCTTCACCTGTAAAGTCAATGTAAAGTTGTCAAAATTGAGATAGTACCGGTTGCCAGTTCACAGTCAATATGCCTAATTTTTATAGCGCGCTATTTAAAATGTTAAAATGAAAGCAGCTCTAGATCGTGTGATATTGTAACGAATGGCAAGGAATGCGAAATAGTAGGAACGCGTGCAAAGTTATAGCGTAAGTCCCAATCTCATACAAAGAAACGTCGCGCTCCTAACTACGTTTATTCGGACTTATTTTAATTCTTAACGTTGGTCAATAGATGGTAGCTAGTAAATCTGCCACGCGATTGTAATACTATTCGAAAAGGCCAACAGATGGCAGCCATTACATTTTTGTCAAGGTTATTTCTCTTATTCAGACATTAACTGTAAGTACAATAAATAACATATTATAAAGTCGCAAAGAAGCTGAATCTGTACTTTTAATATTTTAAAATTAAAGTCAGTGAGAACAAATTCAAAGAAACGCCATCTATACAATTTATTGCAAACTAACATATCAAAAAGTATATCATTGAGGAAACTACGATTTGTTATCTTTTTAACGACAGTTTACTGTTTTCACCAATTATCATAATCGTAAATTAATTTTAATTGAACCTTCCTCACATGTTGTTTAAATAGTTCTGAGTTTCTTTTTTATATTTCATACTTCCGCTTACTTCATACCGCAAGTTTTCGAGATTCAATGATGTTTTTTTATCCAAGTGTCACCGTCTACACTTTTAAATATGTACTAAAGTTAATTTGTATGAATTGATACCCGATGGTAAAACCATGCAATACCTGCAAGGCAGTCGCTCTCTGTTCCTCCCTGGAGGCTTGCAGTGCAGACTCGAGGGCGGCGACACGCTTCAGCGCCGCCTGGAGATCATCCGACAACTTCTCCATTTCCTTATGCACTGTGTCCCTGTAATACGCACTTCGTTTAGTTAGTAGGTGTTGGAAGGAGACGGAAAAATATATAATTCAATCAGATATCGTTCCCCCACTGACTAACTGTCGGAAGGTAGAACACTTGCAACGAGTTCCCTACTCGAGATCGAATGCCAAACATTTGTTTGATCAAACATTAATTATTCGTGAACGTTTACTCGACTGTCAAATCGATGTAATAATCATGAGCTCTAAGGTTTGCCACATCGATGTATCAAAATCTATGAACTCGTGGCAAAAGTAACATTGGTTCGTAAATAATTATTAACATGTTAACAGATGAGAATCAGATGAAGCCATCTTTTTCGTAAATCTCAAGTTGTACGTACCGCACAATCACACGAATGATATTAATAACCATCGCGAACTCGCGTGAGAAATCGTGTTTCCGTTGCAGAGTATAATAAATATTACAACCCTTTGGCTCAATTTATATTGCGGCGTACATAGCGTAATGAAATTTATGGTCAATTGTGTAACGGATTTCTTGCGCATGCTCGAGAATTCTCGCGCTTTCCGCGGAAGATTTTGGTTCGTATCTAGTTTATATGTTACCAAATTAACCATAAAATTCATTGCTGTGTACAATATCATTACAAAAATTCGCTTCCATTCCATTCCGACGCAATGTAAATTGAGCCTTAGAGCGCCACCCACTTTGAACCCTTATCGGGAGATTGTTAATACCCCAGATTGCTAAATGCCCACATCAGGTGGTAAAATTTCTATATTTTATTTTTATTTTTTATTTTCGTTAAAAACAATATATACTTTCCCATACCCCAAGCAACAAAAATAAAAAATAGCTCAAATCGTGATTTTAAATTCGGATGGATTCGCGGGTTATTTTCCCTCCGTTTTTTTCTTCGTTGGCAATTAACTGCCTTCGTGGCCGAACGGTCACGAACGCTGGTCTACCTCGCAGAGGTCCCGGGTTCGGTTCCTGGGCCGGGAGAAATATTTGTATGCTTACATTTATTTCTCTCGTCAGTTTGGGTGTATTTCGTGGTTGTCTATGTGTGTGTCCACGGCACCTGCGACACAGGGTTTCCCTAGTGCGGGGCTATGTCGGAGCTACGTGGAAAGCAGTCGGGAGGGAGGAAAGCGAAGTGCGGCAGCAGCACGACCAACCTCTCGCTCATGATGAGCGAGTACTCCTGCATGGCGGCGTTGCGCTCGTCGGTGAGGCGCTTGATGTCGGCCTGGTGGCGCGGCACCTCCCACTGCCGCACCATGCTGGCCACCTGCTGCTTCAGCGCGTTGCGTTCGCGGATCTGCGACAACGACGGCCCGTAAGCCAACTTATTTCACAACTCGAAACATACCATCGTACCTTTCACTCTCTACCACTTTCGATGGGAGGACAATAGTTTGAGATTAATAACATAAACACTCATTAGTAAATGGGACTTCCCGGAAAATAATAGGTACGAAACTCTAGGGTTGCTCTCTTTGTAAATAAACATTTCAAACAAACAGTTATCAAAATTCAGATAGTTACCGGTTGCCAGTTCACAGTCGATTTGTTCATTTACTTCAAATATATCAGTTCAAAACAGTCTGAAGGAGCTAAACCGATCACAACCTTGGATGGACATTTATATTGCATCATGTACGCTACAGAATGTAGCACGTCTTACAATATGAACCATGACAGGACGTAGCAATCCATAAATTATAGTCTGTCGTTTTTGAAGATAGAGTAAAACGACAGTGCGCTGTTGCCCGCCTACAAGCAGCTAGTGATTGCAATATATAACCGAATTTGTCTCATTTGGATCATCATCGACCCAATATTCGTCAAACTACTGGGCACAAGTTCATTTGAATTGTCAATTTTGTAGGTTCATACATACATACACTGTATTTAGAATTATGTCTGTTAAAAATACATAGAAGAGACATATTTCAAAGTTTTTCATTTTATCCGCACATTCTTGTTAAAATGTATATGAATAAAAATCTATCGATAAAACTGTCGACAACAACTACATGACTATTTAAATGTTTATGAAAACTGGCAACGCTACAAACATCATTTTACACCGTCTTCAATAAAGACAGACAATAAATATGTAAAAAATCTACATTATTCTTATGAGAACAATGTACATTTTTCCTATAAGTCAACCAAAATGACTATCGTCAACCTGTAATACACCCCACTGCTGGACACAAGTCTCATCTATGGCTAACGATTTCACAAGTTACCAAAGCATGTGAAACTTCTTCAGCGTGCTGATTTCCGTCATCACGATGATTTCCGTCACCTTTACAAGAAATTTTGCAACGAAATATTTACAAATGTATGTAACTTACAAACTGAAATCAACCTATCACTTCCCACAAAAGTAACACGTATGTATATAACAGTAAAGGCGTATATGGCTGACGGGAGATTTCACAGTTCGCTACGTATTCAAAAACGAAACAATTAATAACATACCACGACATTTCTTTCTTGTGTCAAATCGTGACATTGCGTCTTCAGTCTGGCGTTCTCTTCTTGCAAAATCTGCAATTTCTCCTGTGTAGCATTGTGATTCTCGATCAGGTCCTCATATCGCTTCTGGTAACACTCGAGCTCCTCCTTTAGTGCCTCGTGTTTCCTCAAAGTGTGTACCAGGGCGTCAGAGTTACCGTCCGGGCTTGTGGTTTGCTGCAGGTGTTGAACTTCACGTTCCAGGCTGTTGACAAAGCGTATCATGTACTATATATCACGTACAGACATCACCCTTCAAAGGTCCTTCTGTTTAGTAGCAGTAGAACTCCTTGTGATAACGTTCGTCCAGGGAAACACTGCAACCTCCTGTTTCTACCGCCAAGCAGTAATGTGAGCATTCCGCTTTTGAAGGATAAGGCCTTTGTTTTGAAGCCGTTTACAAGTAACACTTATGGCGCCAAAATTTTATAAAAATGTTAATCATGACGCTATTTTCTTTCCTTAATACCACGTAAATATATTAATTAATATATCGCACTGCTATTACAATAGTGTTGTAACTCAAACTATGTGAAATTTAATATTATATCATTAGTGAGCGTAAAATTTCATTCTCTACACGTCAAAGAAACCGTCGTTAGAATATTGTAAGAAACAATCAAAAGATATCTACTTAACTCAAAATGAGACATACTTTATGTGCGCTAGTTCTCGCCAAAATAATCCTCATTCAAAAACGTGAAATTGTTTTTCCATTTTATTTTTGAATATATTTGAGAAATCGTTTAAGTGTCTATAATAAACTAAAACAAATAAATTTTAGTGATTTTTTTGCGAGAAGTGAGTAATTTGTTTTTCATCGATTCTGAGAAGATCCTCTTTTTGAGTTAATACACTATTGTATTAACAGTGCGACATATCAAAAGTATTTTAGTCGTTATCGAGATTAGGATTCTACAAAAATTTACAATTAATTAATTCATTACCAAGGCCTACAACGGTGTTCCCTTGTTAAGATCTGAGTAGTGTTTTGCGAAAAAATATTTATGCGCTAATTACTAGTTAAATAATATCTATAATAACAACAAACTAGTAGAGTATTTCCACAATTGTTGATTGAAATAGTACATTATTACGGAGGCCAGGAAGTAAGGGCATTGCTGGACGAGTATGAGTTACAAGGACGAGCGCCAGCGAGGCCTTGTATTATTAATACGAGTCAAGCAATCCCCGTACCCGCTGAGATACTTTTTTTATTTTTCTCAGACAATGCGATGAAATAATAAAAGACTAAAGAGAGGAAGGTGTATAATAGAAAAAGTAAGAAAATATTAATTAATATTTGACGTTTTAGAACAACTACTAAAAGAAAATGTTATTGTTTTTCCAGGCACATTAGTAGTAGTCTCCTGAACGTCTAATGATGTGTTTAAATGTGTATCTATTACTGTATTTTCTTTATCACTCTACTCATTTTCGCCACCAAAATACAAAAAAGACGAAAAAACTAAAGAATATCAAAACACTTTAGTTTTAAATGTTACCGCCATTTTCTTCTCTTTTTTTAAGTAAGCGGTACAGGTAAGTATTTTCAATTCTCGCCATTATGAACACTGAGCAGTTGGCTGTATGAGTCTTTCTTTTGCCTGTTTACATAGTTCATTATTAGTAGGTAGATTTAAAAGTTTAGAGAAGAGGACAGTAATAGATTTTCATGCTTACTGTGCAGGCCATGGCCGGGAGCAATGACAAACCTACCGTGTTCGTTTTTTGAAAGTAACGCAAACATTTCCGAGCATGTTTGAGACAAAACATTATGATATTCAATAAAAATAAAATGTTGCAATTAATTTAGCGACATCTCTGTCTGTCTTCTGGTAACTGTAGAGGTACTCGACTGAGGACATATTCCCTGAACTGAAGACTTGTCAATATGTCTAAGGGTCGTATTCTAGAACTCTACTCAATGCTCAAGTCGGGATTGCACTGGAAACACAAGCACTGGAAATACGACCCTAATGGCAGGGACTTGAGTATGACTTCGAGTGCTTTAAACCATACTCAAATCCTGTCCTGAGCATTGAGTAGAGTTCTAGAATATGACTCTTAGTGTGATTAGCACAGTGCCTTTCAGACCTATGCGTGTAAAGCTTTGAGTTGCACTGCAAATGTTATGGGTAGACATGTAACATGATATCATAAAAAAAATATAATGTCGCAATGCTGGGCACGATCCTTAATAAAAAATAAAATACCGTTGGTTGTCGTTGAGTAGATCGCCGTACTTGCCGCGCAGACTGCTAGCCTCCTGCGCAGACACCTCCAGCTGATTCATGGCGGCGCGGTGCTGTCCGCGGACGTATTCCAATTCCTCGAAAAAAAAACATTCTGTTATGTGGATAGTTTTAAGTAGAAACGCGGCTGCGCCCCGCGTCGTTTTTGAGTCAGAATATACGTGTCAACAAGAGTGGTTGTGTATAATTACAGTCTCCCAGTGACTCCCTCTGGCGGTAGGTAACAATTCAAGTTAGTGTTTGTTTTTAATGTAAAGTATACGAACGCTTGGCAACGATCTCATTTGATAAGTGACGATCTAGCGGAAATATATAATAGTTATTTGTTATGCAAGGCTTCAAAGTTGTTGTTCTGTCCTGAGCGTAGCAAGGGCTGCAAAGCACGAGACGCTAAACAACTTTGCTGCCGAGCAAAACACACAACTTTTCACCTCACTAAAGCGAGGAAATGGTAGATGAAAGAACTAACTCCTTGTTTTTTATATCACTAATCTATTCTTTTTGCTGTTTTTGTTTTGCATTATCGGTGTGTTAATTAATAATAATAATAAACCGTTTATTTTCTCCCAACAAGTACAAGATGTACATAATACACTAGAAGTGAAAGGTTGGGAGACAAGAGCCCAAACTAGGCTACTATATTACCAAGTATACCTGTGCTATGAGTCACCTGGCCTCCAACACCCGGATTACGTCTACCGGTCGGTTAAAAAAGACTACGTAGTATATAGGTATATAAACAATTACATACTATATTACGAGACTGACAAAGTCTCGTGTATTATATGATATCACAGTCCATATCGTCCACTTCATTTTCTATCGTAATTATTTACAAATTTTGATCCTGTCTGTTTTTAATCTTAGCTTGTTATGTTATGCACCGCCTGTTTATTATTTTGAACCCAGATCTCCGGTTATTGTGGTAGAGAACGCCTAATACCATTAAGTCCGCCAATTATAGTTGTTACGTGTGCAAGTTTAAATAAATACACACATCAAAAGTATGAAGGGATAAGGTAATTTTTAAAATATTTGAATACTAGACAAACAAACTAGCTGTCTTTCAAAATAAGTTAATAAATTTACGTCACAGGCGGTTACGTCACTGGCAGAAACATGAGAGTAGAATCGATCCCAATAGAATTAGTCCCTCTGAAAAAAAGTAATGCGCAGTTATGTGACAGAGCGAAGAATTCTGTTATCCGTGAAACACGTGGTTTGAAAGAGGCATGTCAAGAATCGATACTACCTCGTCTCGAATTCAATTTTTTCCCTTACAAATACGGTTCATTTTGCTTGGGTCGAGCGGCCAGGGCATTGGTTTTATTTCAGAATTTCTTTTTTTACAAACGATATTAAAGCCGTTTGAAAAATGCATATCGTACACTATACGTGTTTTATTTTTAAAATAAAATTTGAATGAAGATCTATATTTTTATCATTAAACTCGAATTTTATTTTATTCCCTTACGATGGCGACAATAAACAAACGCTGACATTAATTGGGATTTTTTTTCTCCCATTGTCACCACTGGCAACAACTGAGATTTTCGAGTTCTTAGGTTTTCGCGATTGTTACACATAGGAAATGAAACTATTTTTCCGGATTTAAATCGCAAATCAAGTCAACCGTGACCATGGGACCTGTAAAGGGCCCGAAACGTCGGTTTGTTTGAAAAAACAAATATACGCGATTTAAATCCGGAAAAATAGTTTCATTTCCTAACTGAGATTTTTTTATCCCATTTGTCACCACCTAGCGTCGTATCTTTGTATTTGGTTTTTCAACTAAATTTTAAGCCGCATTTAGACTTTTTAGACGCGAGCACATAGAAAAATTCGTTAGGTCCGCTGATTCGTTCCATGGTATAGCGTCTGGCACGGTATGCTAGAAGACGTCGTTTCGAATCCGGCCGGATCGAAGGAATTTTTTCAGAGTGTTCGATCTTTGTACTAATAATTATAACAAACTAGTGGAGTAATTTCACATTAAAATAATTGAATATCAATTCAATAACAAATTTAAATAGATACTTTACTGCCTCCGTGGCCGAACGGTTACCATGCCGGACTGCCACGCAGAGGTCCCAGGTTCGATTCCCGGGCCGAGAGAAATAGTTGTATGGCCTACAATTATTTCTCTCGTGAGTTTGGGTGTAATTTGTGGTTGTCTATGTGTGTGTCCATGGCACCCGCGACACAGGGTTTCCCTAGTGCGGGGCTATGTTGAGTGTGTGCGTTATTTATTTATTATTATTTATTATTATTATTATTATATAATTTATAACCTGAATTGTCTCAAGTACCGGTGCCGTAGTAAGATTAACGGTATCGCTTCCTGAACATACCGATATTCCAAACTCTAGACATGTGTATACATATGTATGTAACTCACCTTCATAACATGATCACAACGTCGCGAAGTTTCCGAATGTTGTCGTCTTAACTGGTTCAACTCGTGCATCGCCTTCTCGCATTGCTGCTTCAAGCTCTCATTGGTCTGTTTATTTATGACGTCATAGGAAAGCCCCTCGTAAGGGCCGCTCATGGCGTGGGACCCATGGCTCTTGTAGTTCTTATCGTGATATTGATTGGTCGTTATGTGGTCATACTCTATTGGAATCGGGATGGTTGGTAGCGGTGGAGGATTGTGACGCTCTGTGCTTACATAGTTGTGGGTGATGGACTCTGCGAAATATATTTTGAAATGGTTAAATAACATATTAAATACTTGATTAAAAGAAAATTGGAGGGCAAGCGTGGACGAGGACGACCACACCTGACAGCTTCAGACAAAAAAACTGGCACTTCAGGAATCTTTTTTTGTAACAATAAATTAATATAAGGAGAGTCTTTAAATAACAATACTGAAAATCTGTTTCGCCATTCCAGTAAAGGCGAAGCAAAGATTGCAAACAAAACGGAATGAGAGACGCGGTCAGTTTCCAAAACTAATACTTTGGATTCACGTGCAATTGCGAAATGTACAATATTTAGGACCTTTTATAATGGTATTAAAATCCATATTATATTGAAGGATATTTCATCATCAGAGACAGTATAATCTATTCACCAAACACCTAAAAGCTCACTTGATAATATTATTATAGTCTAATGGGAGTTTTTGAAGATTAATTATACCAACTTACTCTCTTATAAAGATAAAGATATTCTGCATAAATATTTAACCCAAATACATCAATCTTATAAATAACCTTTTATTTACATATATGCGTCAGACTATCCCAAACAGTGAAATTATGGCATGATTACATAACTTTAATTAAGGTTAGTAATACTTATGTACCTTCCCCACAAAATCCATTAAAGTTAGAGTGTTTTTTTTTAATGGAGCAGTCAGGGGAACGCCGAAACCATCGAAGATACAAGTAAACAGTCATAGGAAATCCGAAACCATTGAAGATACAAGTAAACAATCTTAGGAACAATTAAGTCTTTTTTTGTGAAAACAATTTTGGCATATTCTATACCTACATACATTGACTTAACAAATAAATGGACGACGGGTTTAATACAAAAACCACGAAAAAAATGTCCCAAGTCAACCTATTTAAACGTAGTGACATGTAAAGGAATATGAAAAAGCTAAAACGTTGAATTCAAATTGTAATGTCATCGCAGTACTGTCTAATGTTGCTTGCTTCGCTGTCAGAAGAAACAAACGAAGACTAAAGCGTGAATGACGCTCTGTATACGATTTTAACGCCCTATAAGTTCGGACACTTTTTAGCGCGGACCCGACGTCCATATAATTGTAAGTCAATGCCTATATATCATTTTTATGGTGAGTTGTCCATAAAAATTAATAAAATTGATCAAAATTGTTTTAATTCTGATCGACTAGTTTCATGTAAGGATCATTTCATTGTATGAGACGAAAAAAATCGGTAATATGTAATTCAGTCATTCAATTCTGTAACTTTACCCTATTATGGATGGTGTTATGCACCAAAGTATTTATAAACAATAAAACAATGTGTATTAAATACGAGGATTCAACGTAAGCAATAACAATACTAACCATTACTGCCATTACTCTCCAATGATGATGTTCCAGATGCCATAGTATGTCTGAAACTGGACAATAAGTTATTTACAATGAGAGTCAATGTTGATAAATATAATTATACAGATCATAGGTTCCCAAACTTTTTAGCTCACCGCCCACTTAGACAAGAAAAAAAACGCCCACCACCATAAAAAATAATTGAAAACACTTATTTTTGATATTAACTTAACACAAAAAAATCACGAAATTATACAAATATGTAGTGTAACTTTATATAAATAATTCTTGTTTTTTTTTTCAAATGCAGTGCATTTCACACTTAAATTATACATCCCATCTTTAAAATCATGTTTGAATCTCATTCTTTGGATTCCACATATTTAAACACACAATACAAATTTTAAAGTGGCTATTTTAACAATTGACACTACTCAGAATAACCACACTTCAACAAATTTTTGCTAAGTTCATTCCCTAAATCGGTTTTGCCGGGAATCGCACCGGGACTATCCAGTGCCGACAATGCCAACTAGTGGGCTTCCACGGCCCTCATTTCATGTTTGATTGACTTACAATTTAGGTGAATAAGCCCCAGAACAAAAATATATATACAGAATGAACACATTTATATTGTTATTCTGTAAGGTTTTATGTTGTGAGAATTAAAACCGTAAACTTAGAAATAACGACAGGTAGTTGTGACAAAATAGAACTGTTTCCAAACGAAACAAACATCCTTTCCATTCTATTGTACATAGTATGTTTAGTTTGCCTGTGCTTATGGATATTATTGTTATGAATCATAACCTATCATAGCTAAGTTAGGAAAATTAGTAACACTCTCAGAGTCGTATTCCAGAACTCTACTCAATGTTCAAGTCAGGATTTGAGCAGACTTGAGTAAGATTTCAAGCACTGGAAAAACGACCCTAATGACAAGGACTTGAGTATGATTTACAGTGCTCACTGCAACACTCAAGTCCTGACTTGAGTATTGAGTAAAGTTCTAGAATACGACCCTTAGAGCGATGCCACACGGGCGTTGCGTCGTCGTAGCGCTATGATTTCAGCGCATAAAGTCGCTTGCTAAAGGTGGTCCGTCGTTTCAAGCACCATGTTGTTCTGATTTATATGTAGTATATACAGTGCAACGTCGTCGCAACGCCAACTCAACGCCCGTGTGGCATCATTCTTAGAAAATAACTTAACAAAGTCTTGGCAGAATAGCACTGAAGAAAAGTTGCACCATGCTGCCTCAATGTGGTTTGGGGACTTCACATGTTTTTTTACATTCTTCACATTTAATAAAAGTAGAACTCATTATGAAAGAATCTACTAGATGCTTGGCAGCAGAAGTAAGTAAGGTTACCTACTTCTGCTGCCAAGCAGTAATGTGAGTATTACTGCATGTCAATTTCAGCTTTTGAAGGGTGAGAGTCAGAATGACGGGTGTACCTTAACGGATCCTGACGAATTTGGTATCAAAAAAATGTACCTAATTTGTACTATTTAGTACCTCTGTTTAAAAAATGTGTACCTCCATCAGAACGAAGTTATAGCAATGTCAAAGGTACACCCGCCGTATTAACTGTCAATATGGCGGGTGTACCTCGGATTACCAGTTTTATTTAATAACTATAAAAACTTCTTATTCCAAAAACTTGTACCTTAATAGTACTCTGAAGTAAAGGAAACTCCAGCTCAATCTACTGGTTAGTTTCTGAGAAATAAGACAAAATATGTTGAGATTTCAGAGTGCCGTGTGCATCTTGACGAATCCTGACATATTTGGCACCAAAAAAACTCCTTGGTAACAAAAAAACACTTTATCAGGTAAGGGTGTTGGTGAAATTACAGTCACATGGGACTGTTCAACTAATGTCTCAGGATGACGGGCGCAGAGGCAGTGCCACTCAGATCTTTGGAATTTAAAGCTCTGAGAGGCACTATACCATTACTTGGAATCACAATAAAGTTTTCCAAAGGTTGTGACACTTCTTTGACGTCACGACGTATTGCTTTACCATTAACAAGTGGTATTTTGACTAAACATTCATAGCTGTCGCTACAAGGATTTGAACCATTCGTCTCTCATTTGAACCAACCGTAATGACTTTCAAAACACCTTACTATTAATTCTAACCATTTTTCAATTTTATTTAGATTGTTAACTGAAGATGAAATAATTTTTCATTATGGAATTTAATAATAGTATTTTAGGCAATTGTTGCTTAATGAGGGTTCTTAAAGTCGATTACCGTGTTTAGGTCACGAGGCTCAGATGAATGGCCTAAAGATTATGTACAAAATTTTAAGACCTAAATTTTTAAATGATTGCATACAATATTTTTTCTGAGTAAATAAAATAATGAAACAGAACCAAAATTTCATGTATATTTTGTTAACAATCCATGAAAACAAATGCAATTTTTTAAAATAAATTTTACCCCATTTACTAGGGTAGGCAAAGGTTCCACCATACAGCCTCTTCATATAATTAGACGAAAGCCAGACAAACGGCACAAAACAAAAAACCAAAGAGATAGAATAGAAGTGGCCAAGTACCGCTTAAATTGCAATCACTGGCAAACATTTTTTTAATAAAGATTTATGGCCCGTTTGCAAGACCTTTAGGACAGTTTAACCAATAGGGAAGCAGTAGCATTTAACCCAAATACGACACTCTTACGACATTACACGACATTCTTTTTTTGAAACTCATTATAGTTCTGTGTACAGTACTATGATATTTATTACTTTCTCATTCTGTTGTGACTCCGGTTAAACTTGCTGATATTCCCTTACAAAAAGTGGAACAGTTTAAATATCTGGAGCATTGGGTCACTGATGATCTAAATGATATATAGATATAGAATGGGAGCGCAGGGTGCTGTCTGTGGGGTGTAATGTGTTGGTATGGAGGTTTGCATGTAGTAGCGACCAGGTTAAGGTTTTGCTTTTCAAAGCAACTTTACGCAGCTTTTAGGGAGCTATTTAAGTTGCAATGTTACTGTAGTGCCTCCACTATGTTTGCTGAGGCTCGTACAGATTGCTTTTATTCAGTTATACAAAAGCGTTGTGTCTCACTCCTGACTCGGCTATGAGGCAGCACAAAAGGCATCCTTAGCACCCGTGCTGCTAGATGGGACTCTCCGATGGTGAGGCACTGGGTGCAGCTGCATACTACACCAAAAGCCGGAAGCTGCGCCTCGAGCCTTTCTACAGGGGAATCTCAGTAATAAATATTAAAATGTACTTTCCCAGTTGTTACTAACACTAATTTTTAAGTTATTTTGTTACTAACACTATGGATTTAGAGTCCGAAATAAATTATTATTATTACTATTACATTTCCGTGTATAGAATTTTAATGAAATTTTTCAGCCCAGTGGTGAGTAGCATTTAAAAAAAAACAAAAAAAAAATTTATTTGACAACACATATGCAATAGAATTTAGATTTCGAATTAAAAAAAGTGGCTTCATGATATGGTTTATGAAATTATAGTTGACAAATTAAAGTACAGGAGTAGAAAAAACTGTTTTATGTGTCTAAATTCCACAATCAACATTGTCTACACCAGAAAACACTGAAAAACCCACTTGTCGGAGAAATGGCTAAAAACAGTTTTTTTGTCAACAAAATGCTACAAAGACATATGAAGTTCACAACCATCATTTAGCCAGCTTGTAGGAAGTATATACAGCTAATAGAACAGGTGTATCATATTCAAGAAGTTAAATTATATTACATAAACTGTCCAATATAAATACATAATATGTATGTTTACACTGATTCTATAAGTACATAGCGGCATACATGAACAATATAAATATAAATACATTATCAAGTATTTCTAGATAACATATCTATCACACAACAATGATCAGTGATTGAGTATAATTTCTCCCAAGTTAATGACGAATATAAATTTTAAAAATTAAATATAGTTTTAGAAAGCATCCTTACCTTTTGAATTAAGAACAAGCATCCATTTTCTCGCGTACCAGATGTAATCGAATTTAACACCTGAAAGAGAATAAGTTTACAATAAGAATAGATATAAGTCCAGATCCTGACTGTAAAAGGTTCTAGATACCATCAAAACACGGAGGGTACGCCTGACACTGTTTCTACGCTCTAATTAATGTTGCAAAACTACACCGCTTACACTGTTGCAATATACGGGTGCATACATCATAAATCACAGTAGCATACCGCCTTATCTTTAACTCCACAAGCAATTAACAATACAACGACACAGTCACTCGTCATCACCGAACTTTCAAACCACTACTCAGAAACCGAAAATGCAACAAAAAACACCCTTTTCCTTCTGATCACGCAGTGTATGAAAAAGAGGCCAAAATTGCAATGTAAACATTTCCAACTATTACCAAAATATCACATCTAAGAAGATCCACGCCACGGTTTACACAATTTGGCACAAAGCAAAGCGTAAATTAGTAAAATAAAAAGATAATAAGAATTTATCGTCGCTAATTTGCCAACATTTCCCGTTTCTGCCTTTTTTAGCGAAGCAAATGACGGACGGACATATTGACTAGGGCTAGTAGTGAGTGTTGTCCGAATGTTCGACTGATAGCAGGTGCTGAATCAATTCATTGCAATTGTTTTCGCTTAAATTTTGTGATAAGAAGAATTTAAATTTACAATGTATTAATAGTTTCGTAAAAAATTATCAAATTCCATAGTTATAGCCGTTGCATGTGATTACAATATTCAAAAATTAAATTACTGAAACCATTGACTTACAATTATTATTTTGGAAATTGAATCGATTGATTGTTTGATTTGTAGCATGCAGCACCATGGAAATGGCAATATAATTTATTCGGATACACATACAAACATGGAACCCTCTGACTCTGATGATTTGATTTGTATGCACTTTTTTCATCAATGGTTTTCTTTTTTTTTCAAGTGTTTTTTTTTATAACGTTTTCCTTTTTCCTTGTTTTCCATACACGAAATAGAATGCCAATGTCAAGAAACGAATCATATGCTAATCAGAATACACCAAATCCTCGCTACCGACTGATTTAATTCAAAATTTATATTTTTAAAAGATTGTATTGCAGAGAAAGTTCACTATGCTAAGTGTAAAGGCGTCAGACACGTTATGCATTGTTTAAATAGGGCTTAAAACGGCTCATTCACTACCTGCATGGCAGCACACCGCGGAGGCGGGAGACTGCTCACACATTACATTGCATATCGTCAGGGATAGTACAATTACGTATAACGGCCCATTCACTACCTACATGTCAGTACGCCGCGCAGACAGGAGACTGCTCACACACTACCCTGCGATGGCCCACGTGTTCGAGTCTCACAGGACGCATTGAAGGATGGCTTGCCCGCTGCTACTACCTACGTTCATAATCCTTCATTGCGTGGCGGACTGCGATGCAGGATAACGAATGCCCCCTTTACTAGCATACGTTACGAAGTTGCCATTTTTATAAGTTAGTGGCCAAACTTAATTCTTGTTAACATTGTGACAACCAATTAACCTGATTTACTGGAATCTATTGTTATCAATCGATAAATAACATAAATTAATACTTCATGTGCAAAAATGAAAGTCGCAGCAGCAAAGTAATAACGTTAAAACCCTCTCCTTTAAAATTTTATCTCTTGCAGATACGCGCAATTTATCAACGCTATATACGCGCCTTTTTACTAGCCCCGACGATATGGCCCACGTATGGAGTCTCGCATGACGCAGGATTGCAGGATGGCTTGCTGCAACGAATACATTCATAATCCTGCATTACGCGGTAGACGGCTAAGTAGCGATGTACGAATTGCATTTTTTTCATGATTGCTGACTTAGTTACAACTCGAGTTGACTCGACTCGGTGTCAGACAGCAACGGCGAGTCGCGAGTAGCTCTCGCGAGTCTTCCTTAAGTACTATTGGGTTATTCAAATATTGGAAAAATTTCCGGAAATTTTTCTGACGAATTGAAAAATATAATTCGAAAGCTCTTATTATGTTCTACGTTTAGAAATATGTTTCGAAGTTTTATTAACTTGTATTGTTATAAGTTACGAGCTCTGCACCCCAACTACGATGAGTCGGGCACTGTTAGAGGTAATGAAACCTCATTTGAGAATACCTGCGTGTATGTGGAGTCGGGTAAAAAAAAGGAAATACTTTGACTCCTATCATTTTCAAAATGTGGAACCAATATAAAATGTATAAGATTTTTGAATAAAATATTTAATAATTACTTCTCGGGCGTGAGTGTTTTCTTTCAGGTTATGGGCTATAAGAAGGCACTAATAAATAAATAAATAACGTAACTAAGCGGTTGAAATTTTGAAATACGAGAAGGTAAGAAGAAGAAGAAGAAGAAAATTCAAAATGGAGTCCTGCAATGTGAAACTTAGAACTAATGGCTCTAATTTTGTGGTCTGGAAATTTCAAATCGAAATATTGTTAAAAGCTAAGCAACTATATTCTAATATTGAAAAAGAAAGTGACAATCCGGATGAAAAGTTTCTCGACAAAGATGCAAAAGCACAAGAAATCATTATAAATAGATTAGAGGAGGGAACTATGAACTTGGTCCTATCATGCAAAACGGCATACCAAATGTTTACAAAATTGAAATCTGTTTTTGAGCCTAAAACGAATATAGATACTCATTTACTACAGCAGAAATTTTTCTCTATCAAATATGAAGAAGAAGGTATATGTATGTTTGTCGCAAAGCTCGAGGAAATACGTAACAAACTTGCAGAAAACAAAGAAAATATATCTGAGACTATGATGATAACAAAAATAATAACGTCACCTGCGGTCTACAATCATTTTGTCACTGCATGGGAATCAGTACCCCGAGAATATCAAACTTTGAATGAACTCACGTCTAGACTGCTGCTTGAAGAGCACAGATTAAAAGAAAACGTGCCAATGCAAGCGTTAGCAATGCGATCTCATCCTTTGCAATCACGTAAATATAGAGTTTCCGTTACTTGCCAAAAATGCAACCGATCCGGTCATGAAACAAGGTATTGCAAAGCGGGCATAAAATGCCATTATTGTGGAAAGTTTGGCCACTTTGCGAATGAATGTAGATTCAACTTACACAAGTTTGCAAATAGAGGAGGCAACCGAGGTCGTGACAAAGAACACGGATGCACATATAACTGTCAAGCAGCTAACGCATTTGTTGGAACAACGGATAACAACCTAGTTGAGTGGTTTATGGACTCTGGAGCATCAGAACATATGTGTAAAGACAAGGACATGTTCATTGAATTAACTACAGAAAAGAATAAAACTGTTAAAATAGGCGACGGATCAATGCTGTCGATAAAAGGTATTGGGTGTATTAGGTTAGAAGCTTACAATGGTAACCAGTGGATAGAAACCACTATATCAAATGTTTTGTATGTGCCGGATTTAAAGGTAAACTTATTCTCAGTAAGTAGAGCTGTAGATAAAGGGTACAGTACAATTATTGATAGTAAATTGTGTAAAATAATAGATTCTGAAGGGTCTGTTAAGGCTATTGCTGAGCGAAATGGAAATCTGTTTAAAATGATTTTTCGTTTGTATAACCAACCTCCTTCAAGTAATGTTGTTCTTGATTTGATTGACTGGCATGACAGACTAGCACATCAAAATTTGACACAAATCAAAAATGTACTGTCAGAGCACGGTGTAATTTACAAAAATATTTCAATTGCTGTTTGTGAAAGTTGCTGTGCTGGTAAACAACATAGAGATATCTTTATACGTAGTGAAAATCGTGCAAATTCTCCGTGTGAGTTAGTACATGCCGACCTCTGCGGTCCTATGGAAGTTTCATCTATTGGTGGTTCTAAATATTTTCTTCTGTTCAAAGATGATTACAGTAATTTCAGAAAAGTATATTTCATCAAAAACAAGTACGAAGTTAAAAACTGCATTGACAATTTTATTGCTCTAGTAGAAAAACAGACTGGATACAAATTAAAAATATTAAGGACGGATAACGGAACAGAATTTGTCAACAATGAGGTATGTAAAATGTTGAATAAATATGGAATCGTACATCAAAACTCTATAAGGTACACGCCTCAACAAAACGGTAGGGCTGAACGGGAAATGCGCACAATTGTAGAAGCTGCCAGAACAATGTTGAAAGCAAAGTCAATGACCAAGAGATTTTGGGCAGAAGCTGTGAATACAGCCATTTATGTACTAAATAGAACTGGCCCAAGTCCCGTAAAGGAAAAAACACCGTTTGAACTTTGGACAAACAAATCAGTTGATTTTAATACTTTTCAAGTTTTTGGCAATCGTGTTTCCTTTCACATTCCGAAGGAAATTCGTAAGAAGTGGGACGATAAGAACGCGATTGGAATATTTGTGGGATATGAAGAAAATGTAAAAGGATATCGTGTTTATGTTCCTGAAAAAGACGATGTTATTTTGACCAGGGATATAATTTTGCTGTCAAATACAGATATCGAAGAAACAAAGACGGAACGGCCGAGTTCACGCGTAATTGACTCTACTGATAGTAATAATTGTGAAATTGAGGAAAATGAAAAAGAAGTAGAGGTTGAAAGGATGGAAACAAGAATAAATAATAGTCAACTCGAAACAGTTACCAACGAAGAATCTGTAGAAACAATTGATATCGAGCAAAGTCAACAAAGCGAACAAAGGAGATTGAGAGATCGTAGTAAGATTCGACCACCACAAAGATATGAAGACTCAGAAATGTATAGTGTACTTCATTTTGCCGAAGTATTTGAACCTAAGTCTTATGAAGAAGCAATTAACGGCAATGAAGCTGATAAGTGGATTGATGCAATGGAGAAGGAAATATCATCCCTTGCGGAGAATAACACGTGGACTGTTGTTCCCAAGCCGGCTGATTGCAAGCCAGTTGATACCAAATGGCTTTTTAAAATAAAGAAAGGCGAAGACGGAAATAAGTTTTTTAAGGCGCGTTTAGTAGCTCGTGGTTTCAAACAAAAAGAATTTGTATCGGCATCCGAAGTTTACTCGCCGGTCGCACAGCTCACAACTTTCAGAATGTTTGTTGCAATAAGTGTGAAATTGGGAATTAAACAGCATCAAATGGACGTCTGTACGGCTTTCCTTAATGGTAAGATAAATGAACTTGTGTATGTGAGTTTGCCTGTGAATTTTAATATAGAAAGTGATAAAGTATGTAAATTAAATCGAGCTCTGTACGGTCTTAAAAAGTCGCCTAAGTATTGGTATGACACATTAGATGACACTTTAAGAAAATATGGTTTTACAGCCAGTAAAAATGATTATTGTTTTTATTATAAAGTGAGTAACAGTATTAAAACTTATTTCCTGGTGTACGTCGATGATTTCCTAATTATGTCGACAGACAATAATGAATTGCTCAATATAAAGAACTATTTACAGAAATGTTTTAAAGTTAAAGATCTAGGTATTGCTAAGTGCTATCTTGGCATAAATGTGTTACAGAACGGTGACCATACAGTTTTAAGCCAAACAGAATATATCGCAGGATTATTACGGAAATTTAACATGCATGAGTGTAAGCCGGTGTCCACACCGATGGACCAAAGTGTAAAACACAGTTTACTGAAATTACATATGTCTGAAAACGAAGCCATCGAAATTAAATGTAGAAAAGCTATCGGTGCAATTATGTATTGTATGTTAGCCACGAGACCAGATTTAGCTAATAGTATGTCAATACTGAGTCGTTACCAATCTTGCGCTTCTGAAGAATTATGGACAGCTATTAAAAGAGTTTTACGTTATTTAAAAGGAACTATGGAGTTAGGGTTAATATTTCATAAAAAATATTCTGATTCTTTTATTGAAGGTTATGTAGATTCAGATTGGGCAGGTGACCTGCTAGACCGTAAGTCTACAACTGGTTACGTATTTAAAGTTTTTGGGTGTACTGTAAGCTGGCTTTCTAAAAAGCAACAGTGTGTAGCTTTATCGTCTACTGAGGCTGAGTACATGGCACTCAGTCAAGCTTGTACTCAAGCTGCGTGGTTATGTAAAATGTTAGAAGATACATTCTTGTATGATAAAATGCCTAGCACAATTTTGTACGAGGATAATCAGGGTGCAATTAAAATAGCTGAGAGTTTAGATTCAAAGCGTCTTAAGCACATAGATATTAGGCACAATTATATCCGAGAACAAGTACATAAAGGAGCTGTCGTTTTGAGGTACATTGATAGCAAGGAACAGTTAGCCGATATCTTTACAAAACCTCTTGACAGAATGCTTTTTGAAAAATTTAGAATAATGCTAGGGCTGTGTTGAGTTCAGTTTTGTTTATAAGTAAGAGGTCCCCCCCCTTACATTTATTAATTAAGTTTTCATTAAGAGGGGGTGTTAGAGGTAATGAAACCTCATTTGAGAATACCTGCGTGTATGTGGAGTCGGGTAAAAAAAAGGAAATACTTTGACTCCTATCATTTTCAAAATGTGGAACCAATATAAAATGTATAAGATTTTTGAATAAAATATTTAATAATTACTTCTCGGGCGTGAGTGTTTTCTTTCAGGCACGGCCTGAGGCGCATGGTCGGTTTCAGATTACGGGATGTGCTTATGCGCTTCGGTGGTACAGCGGTTAGTACTATGCTTACTTGCTTGATGAGGACGTTCCGGTTTCGTTTCCCAATTTGGGCCAATTTAGGAAACGAACATTTCTAAGTTGGCTCTAGTCTGAGTATTCTGGGTATTGCCGTCAGAATTATTGTTTATCTGGTAATCATAGTACAAGAAATTTCCTAATTTGAGATCAGTAATTTGGTGTGATTTTCTTCCCCTAAATACTTCTCTTTGCGATCTAACAGAGAAATGGTAACGAGATACAACAACGCAATATGTTTCTACCACTACATCGGGAAGTATGCTTTACATTTATAATAATTGAATGAATGAATGAATGAATGAATATACGTTATTGCACAGATAAACACACGAACATAAACACATGTACAGATAAACATACGCACAAAAGGCGGCCTTATTGCTAAGTAGCAATTTCTTCCAGGCAACCTAAGGATAGTTGTATAGTAGTAGATAATTGTGATCTTGTAGTCGTAATAGAGTCTCCGTACATCACGTACAAACCTATAGTGGCGTGAGGACGCGTCGGGCTTCGCCCTACCTCGGCCTACGGCCTCAGCATTAATGACTTTGTTTGAAAAAATTTTTATCATAGCTCGTTAATGGCGGCCACATTGAAAAATGGCAAAAATGAATTTTGACCGCAAACTATTATTAAACACCCACAGAAAACCCCACGTGCCGATTTTTAGTCGAATTAGAGCAAATTTTAAAAGTTTGTGTGGCAGCCATATTGAAAAATGGTAAAAATAAAACAAAATAAAAAATAAATTTTGATCACAAATTTTTGTCGGACACTTCTAGAGATCCCCACATGCCAATATTGAAAAGGATCAGAGCAATTTTTTTCTACCGCCAACGAATGCTTGAATGGCGAAAAACCAATTTCGACTACAAATGTTTATCCAGCTCTCTTAAAGGCCTCCGCATGCCTGCATACCAATGTTGAAAGCAAGTTTTTCTTCGGCCGCCATTTTGAATTCGCCATCTTCAATTTTTCAATACAGGCAATTGACCACTATTACTCTCGAGCATTACATCTTGACATTCTTTCGAGCGCCTCGTATCTATCGCTAATAGTTTCCGTTTTATAAAACCGTTATGGTAGAAATTTGTATGGCGGCCATCTTATTTATTTGAATTTCGAACATTTTTTACTTCCGGTGGAAATTGCCCAGGGTGTATGTATGCCTCATAAAAGTGCATAAACGTTCCCTTCTTAAATTATAGTTTTCTCTTTTATATTTTCCACATTCAGGTCATCTCGTATTATTTCCTTTGCTTTGGAGCCTATTCGCGTACAACGGTTTATATATCTTTTTTCGATCATATCGGGAAGTATGTGTTCTATTTCTATCAGTGAGTCGGAAAAGGTAGCTTTATATACATGTATAAAAAGCACACACTAAGGCACAGAAAAAGGAGATAAAATTATTTCAAAACAGCGCAAAAAACCTGTTCAATGGCTCCATCGTTTCGTTCAGTAACTTCAACTTTTGACAGGTGTCAACGTTAACAGTGGAAAACTATAGGAAAGGAAAATAAATGGAAATTTTTCCATGACTCAACACAGACGTGACACAGACTCAACACTAGGCCGATGGACGTGGCTTAATTCTCTTTGGCCAGGTCATAAAATAAATATTTAAAAAAAATGTAAAAAAATAAAAAATGACACGCAATAGCGAGGAACCAATAAAAAACGACGCGCAAATACAAGAATTTTTATAAATTGAGTGATTAGACATACAAACATTCTTGAGTAATCCGATACTTTAAGTTTGGGAAACCGAGAAGTGTCGCGCGAGTGATACACAGGCTGTACTGTGAGAAATCGCGTATGTTTTGATGGTCGCAAGCGTGGGCACGGCATGACTTCCATGCCCTGTGTACCTACGGAAGGGCGAGGGCGTGCGGTGCGGATTACGTTTACTTTACTATGAATGATTTTATCTCTTTCTAAGCTGTAGTGTCTGTGAATGACCGAGTGCAACGGCGAGCGTACGAAATTATGGATTGAAATAGTGACTATACGTTACAATAATCCGGTGTAATTACGCGATATACAAAATCATCAGTGATTGCTCGTATGATCGGGCGGTCATATGGCGCGAGTCGGAGCTGGTCTGCGGCACTGTCAGATTCGTTCCATCGTTCATTTAGTTTACACGCTATCGGGAAGATAGTACGTATTTTTAGCGAGTGCGTTGACAGCAGTTGTAGCGTAGTCGGACTCGGGTGACTTTCATCACGGTATTCGTAAACAACTTCAAGGTTATCGGTTGGCATGTGCGCGATGCGGACTGGCTGGGAGCCGTAGCGCAGTGGGTGATGCGCTGACATGTCGGCGTCGCCGGCGGGCGGCGCGGGCGCGGCCGGCGCCGGCCAGGTAGTGCGCGCGGCGCATCTGCGCAAGCTCAAGACCATGAAGAAGAAATTCTTCGTGCTGCGCGCAGAGACACCAGAATGCTCCGCGCGCCTCGAGTACTACGAGTCCGAGAAGAAGTTTCGGTTTGGTGGCACCCCACGGCGTGTCATACCTCTCAAAAGTTGTTACAACATCACTCGGAGACTGGATTTGAAGCAAAAGCATGTTATAGCACTGTTCACGCGAGAGGAGCAGTTCTGCATTGTAGCGGAGAATGAGATAGATCTACACGAGTGGCTGACTGCAATCTTACAACAGCATCGCAACGATGATGCTAGTGAGGAGTTGCTGCACCCCATACGTAAGTTCACAAACTAGTGCATTCTAGAATCCATACATCAATTGACCGACATGCTTAAAACTTTCCTATAACAGTTGTTTGCTCTTGTAAACAATCACTCATTATACCGACTGTCATTAACAATGCTAGAGATAATGTGTAAAACATTTCCTTAATAATTAATCATGTAACTAAATTAGTTACTAGCCAAAGAAGTGTCCAAATATGTTGTTTACATCTCTAGATAACCTACAAATTGTTAACACCTATATACCTAGATAGGTCTGAGTCTAATTTCAATGTAACAAGGAAGTTTCACAAACAATGAGTATTGATTGTTTTTGTTTACCATGCCAAGTTACAATGAGGAATTGTTGTGAATGGAAAATCTTAATTGTGCTGAGGAGTCCAATTTTGAGTTAATTGACTTCTACTTCTGTTTGTATAATTATGGTCTATGTTACTAAAATACTTTGTTTTGGTTAAAATTATTGTTTATGTAAAGATATTATATTTAAGTGTTTCAATTTTGCCCTGACCAAGGTATGTAATTGATTTCTGCACAATAGAATCTTTTAAATGTGTTAAACAATGACATCATCTCTTGAAGCTACGGCCAGCAAATGCTGAATTTAGGTCAGTCTGTTGTAATGTACAAAAGTCTAAATTGTTATTACTGGGAATCAAACCAGGCCTTGCATGTAAATGAGATTGCTATCTTCTAAGCCACAACCTTCACTGATTGTTTGATTTAAATAAGATCAGATAGAAAAAAGATTATTTGTTGTATTGTGTATTTTTTAAATATTTGCTGGCTTCAATGAGCTTAGATTATATTAATTTTCCTTCTTTATCACTGTAATGAAGTTTTCACTTTAAATCTAAACTGGGAAATTGTTCATAGAAAGATATTCTGGTACTGTAAAAGTACAAATTTTTTTGAGAAAGATATCAAGGGGTGTGCTTAAAAATGTAACTTGTGTTTAAGAAGGCTGGAAGTTTTTATAATTATTTTTAGAGAAAAATAGTAGTTTATTTTTTAAATTATAAGACACATAATGGTTGACTGGTAGAGAATACCTTATGCCATTAAGTCTACCATTTGTACTATGTACTATTATGCAAAAAAATTTAAATAAATTAAACAAATAATTAAATATAGTGGAAAGAGAGATGTTTTTATATTATGAATTTGCGTGAATAGTGTTTTGTTAATAAATAATATTCAAATTTTTCAAATTACAATAGTATCTGTGCTAGGAGGACTGATTACATTCACCAGAATGAAGATCCTGTATCTGTCTCTGTTATTCTTAATCATGATCCATTTTCATATTTATTTTGATTGATATTGAGACTTGTTCTGAGCTTAAATAGCCCTTTCTTACTGGAGTCAGTGAAACGAGATTATAACCTTCAATAAGCATTTTTTTAAATTTAGTTTCATTTTTGTTGTTAAGTAAAATGGGCATAATAGACATTTTAAAAAAATTACCAAAATGTGGACATGTTGTTTACGACTAGGAGTTGACGACAAGTTCTTCGTGTTAAGTCTGTCGTGTGCTCCAAAGGCAAATGGAATGATGACAAAACAATTGGGCCACCATGTGGCAAAGAACAGTTTTCCAGTCACAGTAAGGGAAAAATTGCTCACTTGAGTTAGAACAAGTTAGTTTATATTTTGTTGATTTGGTAGAAGGTGCTCTGTAAAAACCTGTACGTAAATATGTTGTGGTACTACTACCATGCTATTTCTGCATCATACGGTGCTATTTTTGGATTGAGTAGCTAGAATTTTTGTAAATCGTCTTTTCATGTCAACCTTGAGAGATAGCCGAGGAAGTATATCATTTCATCGACACTCCTGTCCTTATCTTGAGTAGAAGTAACTGAGTTACCCTAAGATTACTACAAGCCATTCACAAATGTTCCACTATCAACACAAATATACAAACATGACTCAAGGTAATGGGTCAATGATCTGGGGTACTTTAATGCCCCATGAAGATTGGACAGGGTTGTCACTTGGCTATCGTTTGTGGTGATTATTTTGTTCAATTAGCTCTTTGTCATGAACTTTCCTTATGGTTTTTAATCAAGTTACTGCTTGAACTTTAAAAGTTCATGAACTTAAATATAATAGGACATTCTTAAGTTAATATATTTAAAAAAAAATTAATTCTGTGACTCTAGATTCAAATCCTTCAGTCATCTTAATTTTTTCACTTGCTGTTAATTCTCCGGGAAAAATAAAAAATTTAATATTCCTAAGTAATAATGAACTAAAAGAAGAAAAAAGACTAACAAAATTAACAGTATTTATTTTAAAGTACAAAGTTAAGATGCTTTGGTATGTACCTAACTAATTTTTCACCAAGTCCAGATTATTTTGTACAAACATTATTAATTATATTATTTTGCTTTAAATTAACATTAGACACAATAAGTATTAATTTTTATTTATGTATTTATACTTTTTTGTAGAAAAGCTTTAACCGTCAATGTGCATAATAACCGATTAAGTAGTATAATAAACGGCAATTTATCTCACAATCGTCGCGCAAAACGACGGAGCCATAGATACAAAAGTTGAAGTTGAAGAAAAGCTTTCATAGGTTTCTCACAGGTGGCGTTATGGCTAAAAAACCGTTAAAACCAAAGACAAAGAATCTACAGTAAGCACAGAGAAATTGGTAAGGTCTGCTGACGCTTTCTGTAGCTCAATTCAAGCGAAATAATGTCGCTGGTTCAAATCCAGCCAGACTGAAGGAATTTTTCTTTAAGTTTGTTTGTATTATTTCTATTTCTTATTATGTTGTACTACGCACAATTTGTTATTACTGATAAGATTGATTCGTTAATTAGTAGACATAATATAGATTAGGGCAACTCGATTGGCATACAGATGCAGGTTCGTATCCTGTCAGATTCAAGGAATTATTTTTTTTTCGATCTTTATATAATAATAATAATAACAAACTAGTGGAGTGATTTCACAAAAAATAAATATTATGGGTAGTAAAACATATTTCGTGAAGTCAATATTATAATTCATAACGCGACATCTCTTGTCAGTCTCTGGTAGCTGTAAAGTACCTGGCTGAGTGAAGAAAATACTTTCATAGATTTCTCAAAGCTGGCATTATGGAAAAATAGCCATTAAAACAAAAAACAAAGATCTGCTAAGTTTGGTCTGCTGACTCAATCTGTAGCTCAGTGGGTAGAGCGGTTGCCCCAGACTGGCATACGCAAGGTCGAGTCCTGTCAGATGCAAGGCATTTTTCTGTGTTCGATCTTTGTATTAAAAATTGTAACATTAATTAATTTTTACACAACTTTTCACAAAATTGCATTAAATGTCATCCTTTATATTTTAATAGCTCTTCTAAAAAGGATTTAGCGCGCGAAATTAAGTCCTTCTAATACAAAAAGTTTATTTTCTTAAAATCAACGTGTATCAATCCTTAAACACAAAAATCTATTTCAATAATGATGATGGAGCAACACATGATTCAATAGAAAAGTCATCTATCATTGTTAAGTCCAAAATGTAATGGTATTTACTATAATGTTTAATGACTCTTTAAACGTTAATTTGTTTCCATTGAATTTTTAAATAAAATTTATAGTTATATTTTACTCCATTTGTGGTTTTACTATGGAGATTTTTGACAATTTCGGGACGGAGAAGTCGTGCGCCTGGTGGTAAGCGACACGCCTGTTCATAAGAGTTGCAGTTCCACTTGAGCTTTTAATCGTAAAGATCTTACAGGTATGTGTGCCCGTCACCCTGAGACATATATTGTCAAGTCCCATGTACCTGTAATTTCACCAGCACTCTTACCCTACCTAACCGGAACACGGTAATGCTCACATTGCTGCGTGGCGGCAGAAATAGGTAAGGTGGTAGTACTGGACGAACTCTCAAGGAGCTCTACTGGTACTAGGAACTTGGGGGAACAATACTTGTTTCCAAATTATAATAAATTTAAAAATGTTCATATTATATATTTAAATTATAACAAATTGTGTAACAAAAAAATATATATATTTATAGGCAGTAATTAAAGCTCCGTCAACTTTTGAGCAAAAATTTTACCTACATAAAACTATTCTACCAACTTAATATATTTTACCGAAAACTGTTCTTAGCCAATTTAATCATAAAAGACTTATTATAAAAAAGGTTCCCTAGTAATTGGGAGTCGCAGATTCCATTTCCATTGTTACATGCGTTTTCTATAGTTTTTTTTAAAACCATTGACCATTATATGTTCAGTACTTGAAAATGTTTTCAAATAATTTCATTTGTTACTTTAAATTTTTTTTAAAGTAACATAGTTACTTCATTATGTTACTTTAAAAAATAAGTTGATAAATAACTGACCTTTATTTTAATAGGGATTGTTAAGGACAAACTTCAGCACATAATTTTATATTTTTATATGATATAAATTACTACAATACAGACTAACCACTTTAATTGTACATTACATTTTAATTTTAGGAAGAAGGTATGAGAATCTAATTTCATCTACCTTTTCAGAGCATGTGTGGCAAGTGAACGTGCAGAAGAAGGGACTGGGCGCTTCGAAAAACATCCAAGGGCTGTACAACCTCTGCCTAACAGACAAGACACTTACCTTGGTCAAGATAAAGAGCCACAACAACGTTATTAGTGATTTGGGCATCCCTGAACGCGTGGAGTATTCTCTCAAGAATATTCGCAGGTGATCATTGACTTTAACTGTTTTTTTGGGTTCTCAGGTCTTTGGGATTGCTACACATGAACATAATAGCAGTATAGAGCTCTTTGTGAAAGAGTTAGTCCAGGGAAGCGAACATTACTGCGCTTCGGTTTTAAGCGTAAGGGTGCTGGTGAAATTACCGGCACATGGGACTTGTTAACTTATGTCTCAGGGTGCGTACAGATCTGGCGAATACGCCTCGAACGCTTGCTGGATGCGTGCAATTAAACACATGGTAATATCTGTGGCGCGGGAACGGTACGCGAACAGATCGCCCAACGTAATGGTCGTCTGCAGCTCGCGAGCCTTTCGCGATGCTTGATCAAGTGCCATAGGATTTAACGAGTTTTATATTTTTTTTTTCAATGCTAGCGAATCGATTCAACTAGCTAGATCAGAAAGCCATAAACATTTTGCAATAATATCATTAAATTTGATCAAAACTCAATTTACAACAAATATTTAGCTGTTAATAGTTTTTGCTCTCGAATTCGGGCATTTATGGGTTGTAGTCCGATTTAAACCGATTTGTAGCAATAGAGCTCCTTATGAAACAGTTCGTCCAGGGAAGTACTGTCACCTCCGGTTTTAAATGGTAATGTGAAATTACAAGCACATGGGATTTGCTGACTTATGTCTCAGGGTGACGGTCGCAGTGGCAGTGCCCCTCCGATCTTTGCTATTTAAAGTACTGACTGGCACTGCAACTGCTATAGGCATGTCGTGTACCACCAAGCGCACCACTTGTTCGTATCTTAAACATTGGAAATTAAACTGTTTTTTCGCATCTAAATGACGTATATTTAATAGCGTACTTTTAGAATATAATACATTTATTACATTACACCACAACACAATAATAAACAGTAAAAAATAAAAAGTAAAAATAATAAAAATAAAACAACTAAATTAAAACTAAAACAAACTAAATTAAAACAAACAGAAAATGATTAACAAAAAAGAAAACTAAATAAAATTAATTAACAATAAAATCTTAGCAATAAATAATTATGCGACCACAAAGCTGGTCAACACTATTATTGTACTAAGTAGATGTCATGTGTGCGGCTGTGGCGTATGTAATAGGATCCACACAGCTAATGTCACCGCCGGGACAAGGCTGTGACGCTGATTTTCAGTGGACCCTAAAACCGAGTGAGTACCGGACGTGTGTGTCGCGTTTAAACTAAAATAAATTACGTATGTATTTCTGTAATGTAGTATGGTATTTCGCCCCCTCCTACGTAAAAATGAAATGCTAAAGTTACGTGTTATGTTCGTTTCAGTGAATACAAAACTTTAAAACGCTCCTCTGTAAACTTGGCAATTGCAACATATGATACTTTTAGAAGGGGCCGATTTGTTTTTTCAAATAAACCTACGTTGCGGGCTCTTTTTGAAGTTATGGTTCAGAATAGTGTGGTTTGCATTAATGTTATACCACTTAAGCAGCCGTGACCATTGACTCTAAGACTGAGATTTATAAAGCGAACTTTGATTTCGACTAAGTAATAATCTCAGTACAGAGTACTAAAAAAACCGACTTCAAAAGTACGTGGAATTACGTCGATTTGCTAAGTTTTATTGAAATATCCCCTAGTTCGCCACTATACACTGACACTGGAGATAATAAAAATCAGTTCTCACTACTCGAAGTATATTGAGAGAAAAACGTCTTGAATTGGAGAAATTCAAAGAAGAAAAAAAAAGCGAAATTAACCATTGAAATAATTGCTCCTTGTGCAAAATTTTGGCGCTATTTATAAAAATGAATCTTCATGCGTGAACTACTAAGAAAATCATCCACCTCTAAGGGTGGCTCCCTTAGAGGTGGATGATTTTCTTCGAAATGAAATGGAAACACTATTCGGTACCCTCTTTCCAACAAAAAAAGAATCATGAAAATCGGTGCACAAATACCGGAGTTATCGCGTAACATACATACAAAAAAACATACAGTCGAATTGAGAACCTCCTCCTTTTTTGAAGTCGGTAAAAAATAGCCAGTTTGCAAGTTTAGGCGCACGACTTGTTCGTCCCGTCATTTGATATTATAAAAAACAAACTAAGGAAAACCCTGCTCTATGAGTAGAATACCCAGACCACAACTAATTTAGAAAAGTTCATTTCCCAAATTAGTCCTACTTGGAATCGAACCCGGGACCTCCTCATCTAGCGAGCACTCCTCAAAACAGATCCAAATCAGTATCAAAATTTTAATACTATGTTACTTGCTAGGGTTCAACATAATCGTTAGCCTTTACCTCATACTTTGCTATATGTATACGTACTGCAGTATCTTAAGTGGTTTTACTATCACGATATCGTTAAATGTTGATCTACTGTTTTGGTTACGTTTACGCCGTGACGTCATAAAATCGCTGCTAGCAATTTTCATGAATTGTGATTCATTGATTAGGATGTATTTAAAAAAAATCCTGTTGTCGATCATCAGTTGTTCGGAGCCGGTTTTGAGGATAATGAGTGAGTCAGACTATCTTAGTTACTCTCGTAACGTATTGTTTATGTTGTGACGTCACAAAATCACGACTAGCCATTTTCGAGCTCTATGGTGGGACTCATTGATAAGGGTTTGATTTTTTTTATCTCCTAAGGCCTCATGTACGTCAAAATGTACATAATGTTATGAACTAAAATATTATTCCTATAAACAAGTAAACGCCCAGAGAGTACATTATAATGAAAATATCGCATTTAATGTATATTTAAATTTAGTGACATGACCTTAGGGTAAGGTACATGGTAGGTGTGCAGAAAAATTAGTTTTTCAAACGAAATTGTGGGCAGACTTTCTTAGGCCTGAAGCATTTAATTATATTTAGTACATTTTAATGTCTCTGTATTGGGAATTTAGCGCTTTTCACGTTGTTAGTTACTGGGTCTTAGAGGTTAAATTATACTCTGCTGTGATCACTGTTGTTATGGGCGTATTTTAAGTACAATGAGAGAGTTACACTATCTTAGATACGTTCGTGATGTATGTTCCGATATGACGTCTCAAAATCACGATTAGCCATTTCGTGCAGAATTGAGACTAATTGATTAGGGTTTGATATCTTTAAAATCATACTCTGTTGTCGATCACCAGTTGCGAGTTTTGAGCACAATGAGTGAGTCACACTTTCTTAGTTTGTCCGTGACGTATGTACACATTGTGACGTCACTAAATCCCGACTAACCATTTTCGTGCAGAATTGTGACTCATTGATTAGGGTTTGATATTTAAAAAAATTATACTCTGTTGTCGATCACGGTTTGTTAGGGGCGAGCATTGCGCACAATGACCATGTCACACTATCTTAGTTACTACATTCGTGACGTATGTTTACGCTTTGGAACGTCAGTAAATCACGACTAGATATTTGCGCGTAAATCTATGTATATAAATTGTGACTCATTGACTAGAACCTGATATTAATTTTTGATTTACTGTAATTGTTGTTACAAAATCATATTTGTAACAATCGTAGTTTAGTTTTTACACGGCTATAACCATCTATGAGCATTTTGTAGTACTCTGAAAATACACTAGATGGCGTTGATCAATTTTACACAAATATTGAATCTGAACTCTATACTGAAACTTGTTACATAGTGATAACCAGAGATGGGCAGTGGGTTAAAACCTAATCAAACCGTACGGGTTTTAGTCCATTTCTGTCCAAAATCGTAAGTGGAAACGGCGAATACGGAATTTGGTTATAATTCCATACTTCTTATAAATTTTGATGTAATAAACTTTTTTGACGAAAAAGAGGCAAACTCCACACAATACCAACTTAGCTATGATGTGGAGATGTATTCTCACTACCTAAGAATGCACACTACTATGATTAGATTTTTACGAAAATCGATACAAGTTCATCGATCGATCTAACGATTTTTTGTATCGATTTATTTCAATGCGATTTTCAAGCGAACCGATTCAATAGAAAAGCAAATCTAATTGTCTAGATCAGCGTTTCCCATTTGGTGGGCCACGACCCGTTACCGTCGCCTTCAAAATAGAATACCGGGTCGCAACCACGAACCAGATCTCGGGTTAAAACTTTCGTCATTTTACGCGAACTTGGATTCTTTCGTAAAAAACAAGCAGCAGCAGCAGCTCCATACTTCGCACTAAATAGGCGATATCGAAATAATATTCTTAAAATAACTACTAACACTAAATGTGTATTATTAATGTGGTTACAAGCTGGTTAGAGTGCCACTCAGAGCTTTAAATTCCAAAGAACTGAGGAGTACTACCACTGCGCCCGCCACCCTGAGACATAAGTTGACAAGTCCCATATGCCTGTAATTTCACCAACATCCTTAACCTTCAAAACCGGAACATAGTAATGGTGGCGTTACTGCTTGGCGGCAGAAATAAGTAAGTTGCAGTACTACCCTGGACGAACTCTTACTGTTACTAAAAAACGGTCATAGTAGTCAGTGTTTCCACGTTTCGACTCATCCGTAGAACAAAGACCTATGTGCAAGATTGTTTATTCTCAGGTCACCGTTCATTTCGCGCGCTGTTCTTAACTGTGGATGTCAGATCGACCGTTGTTCTATACTGCCTCCGTGGCCGAACGGTTACCATGCCGGACTGCCACGCACAGGTCCCAGGTTCGATTCCCGGGCCGGGAGAAATTGTATGGCCTACATTTATTTCTCTCGTGAGTTTGGGTGTAATTTGTGGTTGTCTATATGTGTGTCCATGGCACCCGCGACACAGGGTTTCCCTAGTGCGGGGCTATGTTGAATGTGTGCGTTATTTATTTATTTTATATTTCCGAAACGAAATAATACATAAAACTCTTAAAACACCTAGAGCTAGGTCTTACGTTGAATAACGAGATTATGTGTTTATCCTGTTTTCGTTGTATAATCATATCGGACTCTATTCTTCGGATGAGTCGGTTTGTCTGTACGCCAAAGTTTTCCTAAGTGCATCAAACAGCCAATAGGGAATACAAGTAGCTGTGTGAAGTGCCACTATTGAATAAAAAACCGACCTCAGAAATTTGAGGAATTACATCTATTTGCCAAGTTTTTTTTAAATCGGTTAACGCAGACTGGGTGAAATCTAATATCTATAATCCGGATTCATCCCTGAATACGCCACGGTTCACAAATCTCTTAAGTTTTTGAGAACCTTCTCCATTGTTTTGAAGCCATTTAAAAGTAACACTCATGGCGCCAAAGTTATGTAAAAAAGTTAATCATGGCGCTATTTCCCTTCCTTAATACTACGTAAATATATTAATTAATATTTATCATGGGCATTTTTAGTCGTTACCTACATTAGGATTCTACGAAAATGTACAATTAATTCACTAATTACCAAGGCATATAATGGTTTTCCCTTTTAAGATATGGGTAACATTTCCGGTAATAATTAAAAAATAGGATTAGTTTTATTCAGAATTATTTCATTCGAAAACGGGAAAATTTTGTTAAACAAGTTCTAAGTATTTGTTAACGCATTTAATGACACTATTAGGATAGTGGTTAAAATACCGGTTCATTTTTAAATACTACATAATTAGTATAAATAATGTCTTTATTACGCTAAAGTCATTGACTTACAAATAAATGGACGACGGGTCTAATACAAAAACCACGAAAAAAATGTCCCAAGTCAACCTATTTAAACGTAGTGACATGTAAAGGAATATGAAAAAGCTAAAACGTTGAATTTAAATTGTAACGTCATCGCAGCACTGTCTAATTTTGCTTGCTTCGCTGTCAGTCGAACAAACGAAGACTAAAGCGTGAATGACGCTCTGTATACGATTTTAACGCCCTATAAGTTCGGACACTTTTTAGCGCGGACCCGACGTCCATATATTTATTAACTTTATTTGTAAAGAAAAACTGACTATATTATATTATTTATGAAGAAAACTTTCATAGATTTCTCACAGATGGCTGTTCGGCAAAAAAGTTGTTAAAAAAAAGATCTGTAAATAGAAAAATTCGTAAGATTCCGTAGCTGAATCTCAAATACGTCAGGCACGGTATGCTAAAGGCGCTGGTTCAAATCTATAATAAAATTAACGTTGCGGTCTGTTGGCCTTCTCGAATATTATTACAATCGCATCGCGGGCTTACTTGGTGCCATCTATTGATCAGCGTTTAGAATCAAAATAAACGTTCGAATAAGCAGAGTTACGAGTGCGACATTATCTTTGTATGAGTTTGAGTATCTGTATAGTATTATATTACTTGGTACTTGGTGCAACGGGCTGGTATCCGCAACTCGACGACAAAGCGCCTATTTTGCGTGTTAGTATTATATTATCTGTGGTATATGTAGATGTCTTTATTTGTGCAATTATTTTTTATGTCTATTATTTGTCATTATTAATCATTTATGAATGAAACGTACTTTATAACATAGTTTTAGATGGATATAAATTTTCAACCGGTCGCGACTAAAAAAATTACTTTTAAAATAGACATTGTTCTTTACACACTTGTCTTATAATAAAATTGTTGTACGTACTTACGTGAAAAGTCTGGACTATATAATTCTGATGCAGGAAAACGTTACGGTCAGTTCGGTTTTGACGTCGTCCTTTTGAAGACGTATGTTTAATAAATTTAGATTAAATATCATTAGTGCAAAATGAATATTTTGAAGAAAAAATTGCGCCGGACATCTAATAAAGTAAGGTGTGTATACTATTACAATGTTTCATACACGTTCGAGAATATGAACAAAAATACCGATGAAATGTAGCAATAATATTAACCCCGTACCTTTTGTCCAGAAACAGGTGAATTCCAGCCAGGTCAAAGTATCATTTATTCCATAGGTAAAATAAATTTACACTTGAAAACGTCACTTTTAAGCTACTGCTCGTTCACTACGCTAACTCCCTGAGAAGAACGAGCAAGAAACTCTAGGGATTGGCCTTTTCAAATAAACTTAAATGTTATGGAATACACTTTGAATCAAAGTTGTCTGGAATTAGAGCGGTGTCGTTTTCCACACGTGTTTATCTAACACGTAGTCTTCAATTTTGTAATTAGACAAAACTTAAACTACATTAAAAATATTTTAATTGAATAAAATATTTTTAATGTAGTTTTTAAACTTAGGAAATTATAATCTTAATACACGCTCCGGTATGTTTATTGTAAGAAAGTAACAGTTTCCCATAAAATAGTCTTTTTGGTTTAACGAAACCTTGGTTAAACGAAACCTTGGTTAAACGAAATGGTGGTATCATGGGTTTGTACTTAGCTCTAAGGTTAATATTATGAATATCTTCTTTCTTAATGAAATTAAGTATATTTTTACGGGCATCTAAAATATTTGAGTAATATAAGTAAAAGTAATGTAAGGGTAGATAAACACCAGTCGAAAACGCGAAAAATGCATAATTATGCCATTATAAATTGCAAAAACACGTAATTGTGGGTAAACGGGCAAGCAGAGACGTTTCCTTCAACAGGCAAGTGATTTGTAATCAGAAGATGCATAATTTATTTTAAAAACAATTATTTTGGTTTTGTATGAATTTCGAGAAAACAAATATGCAACCGAGTGTGTGCCTCATGATAATGAAAAAGATGTTATATAATAAGTTCATTTTATTGGAAGGACAATAATTTTAATATTTGAAGTCGATAAAAAATTAAAGTAATCAACATTATTCAAAAACAAGTAAATAAAGGACTTAACTATCTTATTCTAGTATTTTCTTACTATATGAATATTACGACTACTTGTAATCAACAAATACATGAACAAAACCGCGTGTTTACGCGTATTCCGTTCAATCAATCGATTTAGAGCGTGTGAAAGGAGGTTTCTATCACTAAATAGTTCTTGTGACGTCATAGTGGGTACAAAAAATGTGGCACGCTTGGGTTTCATACAAATTGCTTTACTTGCGGCGTCTATCTAGATATATGTCCGTGCTGATACCCTAAAGGGTACACAGAACGAATTGCTCGTTTTTGCAATACAAATATGGTTGTCCGGGTCTTTTTCAATCTTATTCCATGTACGTACATAAAGCTTTTTGTAATAAGTGTAGTGACTCCCTTACAAAGCGGTACCGCACAATACAGTATGCATCGCTCACCAGTTCTTGAACTTGAGCTCCTGACCCCGACTGACTATGCCATTGCCGCAAAACACTGCCTATTCAATTTAAAAGTTCAAAATGTATGGCCTGGGCGTAATACAGATGAGACCACGTTATAACATGTAAATAGAAACATTGTAAATGTTTCCAGTGAATTCATATTTACAAACAAAAATTTGTGGCAATGTATATTTTTTTATTATTTTATGATAGCAAGTGACTGGACGAACAAATCAAGGGCCTGGTGGTAAGCGACACGCCTGTCCATGACAGTTGCAGTGCCTGTAGCTGTATACCGCAAGGATCTGAGGGGCACTGCTATTGCGCTCGTCACCCTGATACTGAGTTCATATGCCTGTAATTTCACCAGAGCTGTTTTACCTTTCCAAACCGGAACTCAGTAATGCGCACATATCTGCGTGGTGGTAGAAGTAGGTAAGGTGGCAGTACTTCTCTGGAAGACTTTCACATAGAGCTCGATTGCTTTAAATGTAATATACAATATTATTTATTATATGTATAATAGTTATTTACTCGAGGGAGTGAGCCTGGTGATCTATAATACGGGTCCCCGACTTACTACAGACTTTATTTTATATGTAACTACTTTTAGACCTTTCTGAGAGAAACAAAGCATTTTGTATTTATATTGAAAGTTAACATAATTGTGTAAATATTTTAGTGTGTGTTAGCTTCGCTAACCAAAACATCATCATCCGTCAATAGCCGACTCTACACTATTTCTAAGCTCTCCTCCGAAAAGAGGATTTTTAGACCACTTTTACTTTTCAACCCTATGTATCGATATCTGTAAACGCTATTATGGCCTTAAACAACCAGGGGACGATGAATTTCATTTTAATGTGATTTCTTCTTGGTACTGTATCATATATCATCATTACCACCATCACCACATACAGCCTGACTTCACTTACTGCTGGGTAAAGGCCTCCATGTTTCTGTGCCACTCTCCACTATCCCGTGCTAATCTCATCCAGGTTCGCCCCCAATTCCTGCAATGTCATCCGCCCATCTCGCAGTTAGACGCCCGACGTTCCTGTATCCAGTCCTTGGACGCCACTCAGTTATCACCTTACTCCATCTGTCATCTTGTCCCCGTGTCTGGTGCTCTGCCCAGCTCCACTTCAACTTCGTGACGCGGTTCCTCACGTCCTTTATTTTTTTTTACTTTTAATCTGGACATTGGGAACACGGTGTATAAGCTGATACCGAGCATGACACGCTCCATGGCTCCCTGTGCAACTCTCATCCTATGCACAGCCTCCTGCGTGAGCGTCCATGTCTCGGCACCGTAAGTCATCGCCATTATATGTCTCTTCGCTACCTATGGATCTTCTTTAAGGATTAGATTTAGGCTACACGCTGGTACAATGTGGGTTGGGGGCTTCATATGTTTTCCAACACTTTTCCTTCAACGTCTATTGTTTACGTATTAAACATTGCTTGCAGATGTGGCGATTCAGAATGTTTCTTCTACATGGAAGTTGGCCGTTCGACAGCTACGGGCGCTGGCGAGCTGTGGATGCACACAGACGACTCCAACATAGCGCAATCCATGCACTCTACCATCTGCCAGTGAGTGTCTGCCGTCTTTTTGATATATTCCACAATTACCAACTTAGGTTGATAGATGTTTTTCCACAAATCCTTAAGAATTAGCTCTATTGGGATTTACGGAATATACTGGATTAGTTGTAGAACCATATTACTAACATCAAACAACAACTTTTGTTGACCTGTATTTTTAGCAACGCCTCCCGTGTGCTATCATTAAAAAAATATTTTGGTGGCGGGTGCTTTCGTTTGCTACCGCACAGACTTATCACCATTTAGAGCGATCTATGTGAATATTTTTATTTTTGTATGGCAATAGCATCTGATGAATAGTGTAAAGTAGTGGAACAATAGTTGTTGTTCATGATTATGCTCGTAGTAATATGGCCTTGGGAGGTTGTTAGTGCTTTCAAATAACTCTGTATAGAATATTCAATTATTTTTTGTGAAATTACTCTGTGATAAATCTGTCATAGATTTCTCATAGATGGCGCTACGACTAAAAAGCCGTTGAAAGACCAAGTACAAAGACACGACGCAAGCACATAGAAAAATTCGTGAGGTCCGTTGGTTCGTTCCGTGGCTTAGTTGGTATAGCGTCTGGCACGGTATGCAAGAAGACGTCGGTTCGAATCCGACCGGATCGAAGGAATTTTTTCTGAGTGTTCGATCTTTGTATTAATAATAATCTGTATAGAATGTTTTACTGTTGTACCATTAGCAAAGTAAAATCCTCACCAGTCTCAAAACAGTTTTGTTTGCAAGCTGAGATGGTAGCTAAATCCGTCTCTTATTTTCTTTACCCTTTTTTTGTGAAAACCTTACTTTACCTTAACTTTTGCACGAATAAAATAATAACCTAAGAAAAATAAATGTCGTTTACGATGTAAAAACACAGGTTAATTTATTTCCATTGAGTTCGTCATAGAAAGTTATAGAGGTTTTTCTCTATATTTTGTCTGCAAAGTTCGTGTTTGATAATAAACACGTATTCGGTAGGGCCGTTCCATACGTACAGAAATTAAATCACGTGACTAGGTTTATTTAAAAAGGAGTGAAAGTTATGATAATATTTTAGATCTCGAAAATGCCTATATGTAGAATGTATTATGTAGAATAATTGTATAGAATACCTTTATTTTTTGCTATTATTATTATTATTTTCTTCAATAATTTTGTCTTCAATTGATGTTTGTTTACGATTTGTGTGTGTGATCGACTACGTAGAGTTGTCACGGCCGGGTCGGGCTGGAAATCAGAGTTGGAATTATTGCAAACTAATTTCAACATTTTCTTGAGCTTGTGTCCGTGACACACATTCGTCATTTTTTTTATTTTCATTTAATTTTTATTTATAATTATAATATTACTTATAGGAAATGAAACTATTTTTCCGGATTTTAATCGCGTATGTTTGTTTTTTCAAACAAACCAACGTTTCGGACCCTTTACAGGTCTCACCAGTTATGTCTAATATTAATGCAAACCACCATATTTTTTAACCGACTTCAAAAAAACGAGGAGGTTCTCAATTCAACTGTATGTTTTTTTTTATGTATGTTACGCGATGACTCCGGTATTTGTGCACCGATTTTCATGATTTTTTTTTTGTTGGAAAGAGGGTACCTCCATAGTGGTCCCATTTATTTTCGAAGAAAATCCTCTAAGAGTGGCTGTTCACGCATGAAGATTCATTTTTATAAATAGCGCCTAAAAGCAATTATTTTGATGGTTGATTTTGCTATTATCCAATTCAAGGCGTTTTCACTCTCAATATACTTTGAGTCGTGAAAACCATTTTTATTCTCTCCTGTCTCCTGTAAAGTTCCGTAAAGTGGTGAACTAGGGCATCAATCCGGGTTTGCGCACTTTGCGGTAACCGATTTCAAAAAAACTTGGCAAATAGATAATTCCATGTACTTTTGAGGCCGGTTTATTTAGTACTCCGTACTGAGATTATTTACTATAATTACAAAAGTTATTAATTAAATACCTTATTTTTAACTTTACATTTCTGTAACTTATTACTTTTTTTATGTGTGTGAAAATAATTGGTTTAATTTGAAACGAATTATTTTCACATTTTTATTTATTGTAGTTATTTTAGTTTTTAGTTAGTTTAGTTAGATTAGGAGTTAAGAACAGGATCGTAGAATCGATAACATGAATACCAAAAGTCACGAACTCGTCTGTTTGTTAAACTTATTAGTTATCCTTGTACGGTTATTGTTAACCTTGACACTTACTGTTTTGTTTACTACGGAATATTGCAGCGCATGTTGTTTCCTGTTTGAGTGGCGATTGCATTGTGGAATCGAGTTGACTAATTTATAGTACTTAGTTTGTTTTGAACCAATATAACAATAACGAGCTCAGTACACGCGCCCACACACGCGACTGTGGGGTCGGGGTCGGCCTGCAGCGCGTGGCGGTGTTAAAATTTCTGGTTGTGCTTATGCTCTTCACTGACTGGCTTAGCGATTAGTGCTTAGTAGATAGATTAATTTAGGAAACGAACATTTTTAAATTGGTTCTGGGTATTGCCCTCAGAGTTATCGTTATTCTGGTACTCATAGTACAATCAAGAGCACGTCAAGCTTGACACTTTGTACTTTGGACCGTTCTTATCTTAAGCGGCATAAACTTGGATTTAAGTCTTTAAGTGTCAAGCTTGTCGTGCTGAAGTTCACTAGTTTGAGACCATATATATTATTTCCCTAAAATACTTCAATTTGGCATAGCTTCCATGAAAAAAGGATCTAATAGAGAGACGCTCGAGCATTTTATTTTATTTATTTATTTTATCACAGTTACAAGATACAAATTATACAATACAAGTAAAACTATGACACTAACCAGAAACAAACACAATTTGTAGCTCAATAACAAGCGCGCACAACATGTAAATAACATTTTCCAACTTAATGAATATGGCTAACTAAGTGAACAGAAAATGTGTATATACTTTAAATAAAATTACTTCACTCTGTGATGTGTTCACAGTCAGGGCTTTTTATAATTTTTACAAATGTGTTGGTGCTCTGGCGGAATATATCAAGGTCTTTACATAAAGCATTATACTGCCTGCATCTTTATCAGTAGGGAACTGTTTTTGCTTATAATTATTTAATATAGTTTCTATTACATTGTGATATAAGCTGTTTGTACCCTCAAAAATAAAATAAATAAATAAAAATAAATAAACGTATGAGAGGGCTGTTATTGTGGCACATTATTTTTGCAGAAGGCACCAATAACAAATGTTGCCTACGATTAGACCTATTAGTGACCTTCAGTGAAACATGGCTTATGATATCAGTATCTAATTTGGAATTTACTATTTTATGCAACATCAGGAGGTCAGTTACTTGCCTTCTCACGCATAGCGAATCTAGTTTGAATTGGTTAAGCTTATCTGTATATGTTACTATTTTTTTTAAATACAACAACGCTTTATGTATCTTAATTCGGATTGGAGCTAATTTTTATCTGCCCCCAAAAAGCGTTTGTATAGCGGCCATATTGAAAAATGGTGAAAATCTAATATTAATGTTTTTTCAATTTTCGGCTGTCATCAAAACATTACACTTGAATAATAAGTTTAAAACATTACTGCTACGCGTAAACGAAGTAGAAGAATGTATAAGTAACACAGACATAGCAGTATAGCTAATTCACTATTAAAAAGATTTATGTATATTGTATACTTTATATTGTAACTGAAATGAATAAAATCGTCCATCAATAAAAACCTGTTATTGTGTTGATTTATCAATGGTGCTTAATTTTTCAAACTGATCTGTGATATTACATTACACTGTCGCGTGATATCACAATTGTAATATTACTTGCATTTCTGACACATCTCTACATTTTTACATCTCTACATTTCTCACACTTTTTTTATAATATCAAAGGACGGGACGAACAAGTCGTACGCCCGGTTCCGGTTTTGTGAAGTAATAAGTAAAGTAAATATAGTATAAGTATAAGTAAAGTTTATAATTATTAACACAAAGATCGAACACTCAGAAAAAATTCCTTTGATCCGGCCCGATTCGAACCGACGTCTTCTAGCAAACCGTGCCATATGCTATGCTCACTAAGCCACAGAATGAACCACCTCACGAATTTTTCTATGTGCTTGTTGTCATATCTTTGTATTGGGTTTTTCTACGGCTTTTTAGCCGTAGCGCGTAAATCCTTAAATAATTTTTCTTATAATGTAATTAACAGTGCAATGCGCAACTGCGCTAAAGAGACTGAGAACGAACGAGACCACATCATCGTCCCGAAGACATCAGAGACCATCCTACCTGCGCGCAGGCAGACTTACTCCGACGGGAGGGGGAGGGCTGGATTATCCAACGGTGAGCTTACTTTTGATCGTCTACTTCATCTTTATATTCTTTATTTACTATGAAACACATTCATTAGTGAATATCTTTATTTCATGAGACTTCAAATTATTCTTGTAATCGTCAAGTCTTGTCTCATTGACAAGTAAAAAATTAGGTTTTACTCAAAACTACTTCGTAATATTAGCATTATTTGGTAGGCTGCGTTTACGAATACGGCGGATGAGGTGACACATGACATCCCAACCTATCTGCAACACTTTTTGACGGCTTTGTAAAGATGTGTGAGTTTGACATTGAAGTGCGACACCTATAATATGATGCACCATTTCTGGGTGCTTTTCATGAATTTTAAATTTAAAACTGTCCCACGTACTCTTAAAATAAAAATATTATTTTTAAAATTACCATAAAGAATATAGTCTTAAAAGAAAAAAAGGTTAGCTAGTGGCAAAAACCGCACGGAGTTTTCGTACGTAATGGTACGAGCACAATTATATATTATATACATTGTATAGACGTACTAAAATGTACTTTTGTGTAATGTTAAAATTAAACTACTTGGTTTGTTCCTATTCTTTCTATGTTCTTGAAAAGGGCTGATGTTTGATAAATTTTCGTAGTAAATAGTGCAGTTGTTCACAGTTTTTAATATAATTGTGACTAACATTTACGTTGTAAGTAGTACGTTAGATGTGTTCAATTTAATTATTAAAATGTAGTGATAATTATTCACTACAGCCTCCATGTTGTGTTTGTGTTTATAACGTTGAAGTTATAATTCTAAAAAAACGTATAAGAAATCATAAAAACCGTCTAAGAAATCATAAAAACCTGGTAAGAAATCACAAATATCGTGTAAGAACCTATTAAAACGTGTAAGTAATATGAAAACAATACACGACTTCGGAAATTCGCACAAAAACATGTTACCATAAAATCAACGATACAATTGTTGAAATGTGAAATATTACTTTTTCGTTGTCGAAAATCCAAAACCTCCTTGCATTTATCTCTAGAAGTTAATCCAAACACATGAAAAATGTGTAGGAATCGAACACGTTTTAGCCAGTTACGGAAAATCAGGTTTTTGTTTTAATTTAGCGTCAACAGTTTTATTTGATAAATTTCATAATTTTGAAAATAAGTAAATAAAATAAAATAACTGTGTATGTATGTATATCATATGTATATTTTTTTAAACAGTTCGTAAAAAACTCATGTATGATTATCACTATTTATAAATATATTAAAACGGCTAATTTTTCTATTTCTCTCCCGATTGTTTCAAGAAATCTACAATTACGTTTATTACATTCCTTTCAACAAACAAACAACAACATCGTCAACCCAACGGGTTCTCCCGCTACGCTATTAACTAACGCCTGTATGCTGTCATCTTAAACATGTTACTATGCTATTTTCGACGTAAGTTTCGATAATAACATTCTAACCGTAATCGTTTAGTATGCGATAAAGTTGTGCAATATTTGTTATCAGTATTACGAGATGCGCGTCATACATTTATTTGTTACGAACGAAACCTGTTTACCGAGTTATACTTTCTAATCTACGACGGAATGTGGCATCGTTTGACTAATTGTTTTGAAGACTTTCGTATCAGTTTCGTAGAAGAGCCTAGTGAGCGTCTGCTAACACTACGCCGCGGCACTGTATCGCGGTGTCTTACGTCAGTTGCCTAGTCAACTAGACAAACCACCCAGTTCAGTGGCCGCTCTCTACACGGCGCTATTCGAATAAACGATTATAATGTATATCCAGGGCGCCAGAGGGCGCCTTGCTCTAGTATATAAGTAAAATTGTAAAACTTGCTCTCTCTCTTATCCATCATCTCAACACGAAACATACAAGGTTCGAAATCAGATTCCATTCTTAAATGTAACAAGTGTGCTGCACTTGGAATACATTTCAGCTCGATATCGATACTAGAAGTATCAATTAACGTAAGGGACATTTTGTCGAAAATGAGTTACATAATTATATCATTGGATTCGGAAGTTCCCGCTCTATCGATTGGCATAATAAAAATAAGGAATGCCCAGTGGTTTAAAATATAGCATGTCCCTTACATTAAAAAACATTTAAATAAGATGTTTAGCCTTACGTTACTAATATTTTATGTGTAAACCGTCGAGCATAGTGTAAGCAACGTAAGGCACAACTAAACATCTTTTTTTAATGTAAGGGACATGCTATATTTTAAACCACTGGGCATTCCTAAATCTTTCGTTTATAGCACGAAAGAAGAGGAAATTCTAAGAAACTTTGCTCTAGACACAATCAAAATAGGAGCAGACAGTAAAAAGTTATAGACAGATTAAAAAAATAATCGTTTTTTGGCTCTCCTGAAAAACCGTGGTTTGTCCCTTACATTAATTAATACTTCTGGTGTCGATATCTCAATTATGCTGTGTTTTATTGAAATACAAAATTGTTATGTCCTTATTGGAAAACCCTATAGAAGCAACCGCTTGATTAATGATTGTGTTTGTTAGGTTCTTATGTGGAAGTTTTCGATTTTTTAGCTAGTTAGAATTACATTTCGTAAAGCGCTGTAAGCATCCCAAATGTAATTAATAAGCAATTCGATTATACTCAAGCGAACTAAAACATTCACTGAATTGGATCTTAATGGAATCAGTTCCAATTCTTAATTGAATCAATAACAATATGATTAAATTAATTAATCAAAATTGTTGCTGCGATCATTGTGCTCTACGGCCTCACAAATTAATTTAATCATGATATCATTAATGCAATTAAGAATTATGGTTGATTCCATTAAGCTCCATGTGATGTTTTTTAGTGTATATAACTGTTACAACGTTGTGCTACGTTACCATTCTTGAATGCATTTCTCATAGCTGTAGAATTGTGGCGAGGGTACTCGTTAAATTGTTAATCCTATAATATTTTAACAGTCGTACTGTTTAGTGTGTACTTGACTATTACGCTGAATTACGCGTTCCAAGAAAGCCTTTTAGCTCTTGAGCATTATCCAGCTAAATGTCTGTCTGAAAGGGGGCTCAGTCACTCGCTCGAGGTTACGCGATATGTGCCTACCGCTGAGTGTATCGCCGACAGTGCGAGCGTTAAGACAAGTCTTTCGTTTACATTACAATCCATGTACAGCCCCAGCATTCGGTTTCGCACGACTGCACAGGACGGGCAACGTTATTTTCACCTCTCTGAGCGCGTGCTTAGGTTCCTTTTTCCTCGTAGTGAGCGCCAGGTGACATTACTCAGATTTAGTAGGATACTATAGCGTAGGTATTTTCGATTTTGTTTGAGAGTGATGTATCTGTTACGTAGTAACTATTAAGTAGTCTGTGGATTTGCGTTGGAAGATGTAAATTATAAAATAATAATAAAATAGTTTACAATTCATGGTTCGAAACTTCTTTTAAGTAAATATATACTTAGCGTAAGAAACTCGCTCAGGATGTCTTGCGGTATTCCATAAGCTTCGGTCTTAGGGCCGCTCCTGTGAAACATCGGAAATGATTGGGTGCATCGCACCGAAAGGGTACCTATAGGCCACGACTGGCGTGACTCAAGTGGTGGAACGTATAAGGCGCATAGCATTGACTTACAAATAAATGGACGACGAATCTAATACAAAAACCACGAAAAAAATGTCCCAAGTCAACCTATTTAAACGTAGTGACATGTAAAGGAATATGAAAAAGCTAAAACGTTGAATTTAAATTGTATTTTCATCGCAGTACTGTCTAATTTTGCTTGCTTCGCTGTCAGTCGAACAAATGAAGACTAAAGAGTGAATAACGCCCTGTATACGATTTTAACGCCCTATAAGTTCGGACACTTTTTAGCGCAGACCCGACGTCCATATAATTATAAGTCAATGGGCGCATAGGCCTTAAAGTGGCCCTGAACAAGTCCGAGGCTCCCACTCTACAAATACATGAGTATGTAGTGTAATTGATTTTACTTAACAGCGATTTAAAATTAGGTGATTATAGTAATTCTTTTTCCTGTGAATTATATAATTACTTCCGTCCAAAAGTTGTCTGGCAGAAATCGCTTAAAGCGATGGGACCGCTTGTATCACCGCTTATTTTTTAAATTTAATTGTATTGTATTTGTTTCCCTTTTTGGTGAACAATAAAGAATTTTTGTATTGTATTGTATTGTAATTACATAGACTGTCAACCGTCCTATCAAAATGTCTTTATTTTTAAGTTACTGAATGTCATGATGATTGACCACCATGATATTCAATTATTTTTGTGAAATTACTCCACTAGTTTGTTATAACACCTAGAAATATTCCTTCGATCCGGTTGGATTTGAACCAACGTCTTCCAGCAAACCGTGCCAGACGCTATGTCAACTACAGCGACCACGGAACGTACTAGCGGACGCTAAAAATTTTTCTATGCGCTTGTTGCAGATCTTTGTTATTTTTTAACGTCTTTTGCCGTAGCGCCATCTTTGAGAAATCTATTCCTTCGCTCAGTCAGGTACCTTTACAGGTACTAGCAGCTGCTAGAGATGTCTCTGTAATCATTGTAATTTTTAATAGTGGAGTCATTGCGCAAAAATATTCAATTATTTTTGGGAAATTACTCCACTAGTTTATAATGAAGATTCATTTCGTAGGTAAGCAATTTGCTTGCAATCGCCACATTGATTGTAACTACTACTCATAACTTTAACTATGAGTAAAGAAATTTTAGGGCTTGCTCTTTGTAAATTGACATTTATGCGCGTCTTACAATATTTCTATCAAATACCGTAAATAGAAATATGAAAGCGCTATAGTTTTAAGTCGTAATTGCGTTGCGTGTCAAATTTTGAATAGCAACCGGAATTTTATTACCAAGCGTATACATTGCCCCTTAAGAGGGTGCATGCCAAAAAAGTTTTGACGTTGGCTCCGCCCAAATTTGTGAAACAAATATATGCCTGAAGTTCGCGTGACATGCGACAGGAGATGTTGAATTTTGCGCATTAAAAGTAATGTTAATAAAGTTATGTTTCTGATTGATGTCTATGCTTGAATATATCGTGTAGTTACTCATACAATATTTTATTTTTAATTTTAAAGTGGATATACCCCTCTAAAATCAAATCGAAGATTAGGAATTTTTTCTCTGCTCCCTCTTAAATGAATTTTAGACTTTGTTAAGAAGACTGTCGAAAACAGTTGACTTTTTTTTTATTCCTCTTATGTCTATCATTATTTTTCATGAAAAAGTTATTGTTTGATAAATTGTCTATTTGATGTTCAGGATTGAACGACACAATTAATAGATGCTTGTAACGGTTTTGACACTGTATATTCTGTACTTCGATTACAAGGAATGAAATTTAACAGTTATAATTATTGTGGAGTTAACAGTGGAGTTAACAGTTATAATTATTCTTAACAATAATTTCAGTACAAAGTCTCATCTATTTGGCAAGTTTTATTGAAATCAGTTACCGGAAAGTGCGCGAAACCGGATTCATCTCCTAGTTTACCATCCTTAGAGATGAAATATTTTCTTCAAATTTAAATGGGCCCAATACTGAGGTACCCTCCTTTCAACAACAAAAGAATCATCAAAATTAGTTCACATGTTATCGCGTAACTTACATAAAAAAAAATCTGTCAAATAGGCAACCTCCTCCTTTTTGAAGTCGGTTAAAAAAGTTATAATTATTAGAGCTAGGGCTAAATTAAATGCATGCATTTGAATTTCTCAATCCACTCAAGGTGTACGATATTAGTTATTAGATACTTGTACATAAATTTAATACGTGGTATCTATGTACACAGTTCACGTAACAGCGACTGACATTGGCGAATGTTATCACAATTTTACGCTTACGTCGTCGAGGAAAATATTACGGCAAGTGACGTAATTGACGTACCGATTACTGTGACGTACGGATCTATACCTGCATTTATAGTTGCCTAGTAATACTATAGTCAGCATTTTTGCTTTTGCATGACTTAATTTGTGACCGTCGGAATTGAAAATTTAAAGTAGCATACTTTATATATTTATAGAAAAGAAAGGGAACTTTGACCTTCTCTCCAGGTAAAGGGGAATTTAGGACCCTTATTGCTGGGGAGTTAAAACGTGCTGTTATGCTGATCGCAGTCGTGGTTGTCATTAAACATCTATAGAGGAGACTTACTGGAACTTATTACTATTTATAAGGACTATCTACGTTGTAATATGTAATCATTATTTTTTATTAATATCAAGTGACGGGATGAACAAGTCGTGCGCCTGATGGTTAGCTACACGCCTGTCCATAACAGTTACAGACGCCACTCAGAGCTTTAAATCACAAAGATCTGAGAGACACTGCCACTGCACCCGTCACCCTGAGATATAAGTTGACAAGTCCCATGTGCCTGTAATTTCACCAGCACCCTTAGGTACCCTTCAAACCGGAACACAGTAATGCTGACATTACTGGCGGCAGAAATGGGTAAGGTGGCAGTATTTCCCTGGACGAACTCTTTCACCAGGAGTTTTACTGCATTAAAATCATGCATATGGTCCCAACTATGTTATTTTATAAGAAATGGCAAAATGTTTATAAAAGAACAGTATAATAGGTGATGAAGAAAAATATAACAAATTACAACTTTGGAAATGAAATATCTGACATTAATATTGAGTCAGACGTGACTATGTGACGAGTAAAGAGCCCGAAACATGTGCTTGTTCGAAAAAAAACATATATACGCGATTTTGATCCGAAAAACTAGTTTCATATCCAATGTGTAACAATCGCGAAAACCTGACAACTCGAAATCACAACTCGTTGAATAAAAGACCGTTGCAAATTACAGAGAAGGGCCTGTGCGTTGGCTCGTGCATTAGGCAATGCGTGTGCGCAACCACTTACTCCGTGGACGACTCGGCCGCGGCCATCGCACCACTCGCCCTTAACGGTAGGATCATACTAACACGCTGAAAGCAAATTGTTCTATGTGCTTTTCGAAAATGAAGACTGGTAATGAGTATATCTAATAAGAATATTTTGATCGAGAACATTCTATATGTGATAACAAAAATTTGGCTATGCTGCATTGATCGGTGGTTTTAATGTTCAACAGCACATGCAGGCAAATAATCTTGGGCATACGCTACATTACAGTTATAAGTGACGAGTTTCCAAGATTTTTTTTACGGTTTATGTACATACAATCCACTGTAGTGTATAGCCATTTAAGACAGAACGTACTACAGCGGTGCGATCCGGCACTGTGGCTTTGAACGTCAAAAGGATGTAACGCTTCTTTTGTTGTAGTGCAGTGCAGTTTCGCCTAGTGCTTTTCAGCCTTTATTGAAAAACGACCGCTTTTAGCGATTGACGTGCTACTAACTCAATGCTACAGTGAGCTTGTTTAAATACAATTCGTGTAATAATATCTTTTATATGTGTGAATAATATTTTTTTTAACAAATAATAAAAACTCTGACATTTAATTTCTATTAATGAGTACTGCTTTGAACACAAGCGAACTCATTGCATGAAATTTGCATGCAAGATGCTCACTCATTTGAAACGAGCATTAGGTGTTTGTTTGTTAGAGATTGTGCTATGTTAATTATCAGTTATTTTAACTGGGTAGTAAAGGCAAATGATAATAAGGCATCGGGTAATGTCTGAACAGCGTAAAAAATTTGCAAGGCTTTTACATAGTTAGGTTGTGTTTATTCGAATCGAATACTCGAAAAGATTGTCATTATTCGTATATGAATTGTTATATCCATCTAGTTCTACCGCTTCAAGCGCAAATCGTAAATTTTGCTTTGCTTGATAACGGATGTCTTTGATGGGTCTTGGATTGTTTATAATTTAAGCAAATCGACTCCTCCAATGAACGCTACGCCAACTTAATTTTTTGGTTATTTTCTGTTATTTTTGTAAACAGCCATATTTATTTACTAATACTATAATCCCCGATGATGATTTTGTGAAAAAAAAAGAAACAAATAACAAAATGAAAACAGAACAGGTCCAAAAATTAAGTGTTCATTGGAAATATCGAAATACAAGTTATACCTACTCGTATATAAATCAACATCATCATCTTCTGTTACTTATAATATGTTATAAATAAAAAATAATCATAATAATACACAATAATAATAATAAAAATATTTATATATACATTTATATATTATGAATGTATTAGTTTTGTTTGTTATAGTTATGTATTATATTTATTACATTAATGTTATTACATTATTATTATAATATTTGGTTTAATTTGCCGCGTTTGTGAATTTAATTTTCCTCATACATAGGTTGACTGGTAGAGAATGCTTTTAGCATTAAATCCGCCGTTTGTACCATTATGTGTTGTGGTCAATAAATTTCAACAAATAAACAATGCGTATCAAAATTATTATGAGCTTTGCTTTATGAACACATATATTGCTATTTGTGTCCTATGTTTTTTTTAGTCGCCGCCAGTATGTATGTTTAGAGAAAAAATATTCGTTAAAAATGTGCTTTCACAAAGAAATTTACACGAGATGTTGTAGTTAAGTGCATGTCTATAACTAATAAAAATATCTCTTATAACTCGCACCCCTCATTGAAGAATGAACGGCATAAGTGGAGTTACACCAAAAGCGTTTATTGCTCTATCAGATACAGAAAAATATAACCCACATCCTCTCCCATTCTTGTGACTCTATCGACTGATATTGTAGATACATAGATTTAAAAGAATTGTCGAGTATGTGGGTTCAACTTCAACTTTTGTATCTATGGCTCCGTCGCTTTGCGCGACGCCAACGTCAGGGTTGAAGACATGTAGTGCGGTGGTGACATAGATTGCCGGTTTTTAAAATACTATATTTTTCTGTATCTAATGGAGCAATAAACATGTTTGACGTATCACCACTTATGCCACTCTTCCATGAGGGGTGCCACTTGTCCCTTTCCAGTTAACACGCTGCCGCACTAGGGAAACCCTGTGTCGCGGGTGCCATGGACACACACATAGACAACCACAAATTACACCCAAACTCACGAGAGAAATAAATGTAGGCCATACAAGTATTTCTCCCGGCCCGGGAATCGAACCTGGGACCTCTGCGTGGCAGTCCGGCATGGTAACCGTTCGGCCACGGAGGTAGTTAATCGAATCAACCGAAATTTTGACAGGAGTATGTACTCGGGGTATGGCCTCTGAACTTGGGCTTGTTAGTTAACAAGAGCTGTTTCATCTACCAAAATAGTATCTCAATATTTATGCGGCGTGGAGAAAAAGTGGTAGCCCATTGGGAAATACGGTAGCTTCTTAATTTAGAGGTCGACTGTTCAAGTCCTTGTGGTAGCACATACTATGACTATAATTTCTAAGCAATGTTTAGTAGTCATAGACGGGATATGATCTAATTTATCTTCTTATAAGAGACCTGTGCCCAACAGTGGGACGTATAGTGAATTGTTGATTTTGATGATGTGGAAATAGTATTGGCTTCTGAAAAACAGCCCTGTGATCTAACCTCGAAAGTCAACTTTGCGATCAGTGGAATGTGTAATCCTTTACAATTTGAAACCCGTTGTTTAAATTTCTGATTCATAAAGTTGATGGCATTCAAAAATGATTAAAATTGGACAAGCCTGCACAGCTGCATTTGGGCAGGTAATGGGCCTACACTCACAGTTTGAAACAGAAGTTATAGTTGGCGAAATATTATTTGCACTGATTCGTATTATCGCTTCATCTTTAGAATACTAAAGGATAAAAGAGTGGGCTGTCAGGTAACGCACGCTGCCGTCCACTAACTAAAACGCGGCTAGCAAAAAAAAGAGTATAAAATTATCTTTTAAAAACAGTTAAAATTAGTTAACGAGTTCGACTGACTAGAACTTCCCTACAGACGCGTTGCTGATATATCATTAAACAATTTCAATATTCTGAAAACGGGGTTATAGTTTTTATGATATCTCAAAAGATAATTTTATCACTTAGCCGCGCCATCAGTGTAGTGCAAACAAGTAGCTTGAACACTTTAACGCATTGGCACCTTAGAATAATAACGCATAGAAACCTAGTCCGCATACGCTAAGTGAGGCAAATTGAAGCGCGCCCAAAGGGCCTACACGAGCGGGCGGGCCTTCAGTGCTCAAGGTCAACTT